GAATGTATAAACTTTCTTTCTTAAATGTTGCCATTCATGTAATTCAGTTTCCTTGACTTCCAGTCTCTGGGTCCCTTAGTTAATTCTGCCAGGAGAAATTTTACTGATACAGATCAAGAGTAGCAGTGTTGGTGGTGGTGATGGTTTTGTGTGTTGGAATGGTGTTTGGGGAGTTGGTTTAGTTTTGCTTTAAAAAGTTCTGATGAGCGGTGGAGCGGGTGGGGAGGTTCTTTAGACAAGGCCCTTAGAGACTCAACTTGGAGTTCAAGAAGCAGTTCTCAAAAAAGGAAAAATTCTATGAATCCATCTACCCTATGAGTCTGTTATATAAATTTGAAGAGTTAAGCATCCGACATTCAAATTGGATTAATAATTTAGTAGCATTCATGAAATCAACATGTTTTGGCAGATAATTTGAGAATATTTATGCTGCAATAGGTTAGTATTTCTATGTTTATTTTGTAGCAAATAATTGTTGAGTGAGTACAGTTTCCTTTTTCATTCCTTTCCCCTTCCCCTTTCCCCCTCTCTCCCTTCCTCCCTCCCTCCTTCCCTTTCTTCCTTCCTTCCTCCTGATGATTATCAATTCTTTACTAAATGTGACATAACCTAGTTAAGACTGTTAGAATTTATTTATTTATTTATTGACTATTACAGAAATTTATTTAACAAAGAGTCTAATATAAAAATGTACATGAGCTAAGTTTTACATCATAGTAAAACAGGCCCTTTGGAGAGGGGTGACATAGGTTTTTCTGCTGAACAGCCATTACTTATGCTCATTCCAAGGCTTCTAACATGATGATACTATTACTCGCATTACCACCATTCCAGTATTATTCTGTTGCCCAGTAGTTGCCATTTCTACACATTAATCTGTCACAAAATTCATAAAAGTATTGGACATATCTACCATCATTTAATTTTCAATGATAACTTCTTGCCCATAAATTTTTTCAACTCAGGAGGGTGAGCTTTGCTCATGGCATCTACTCCACAGGTTCACAGATGCCTTGGAATGGAATGCTGGAAGAATTTATGTTAGTATATCTTCTATTCTTGACTGCTTTTGTTTTGCTATTTTTAATTTACTCATTTAATATTTTTACAATATGTCTAATTGTTTAATTACTTTTTTTACTATGTTATACATAAATAAAAACCACGAAGAAAATAAAAGTTGTCTTTAATTCCATTGCCAATTTAAAAAATTCTGTCTAGTCTTCCTTCTGTGCATATAAAGAGGATGCTCATTTAAGCCAAACTTTATATATATTTACTTTTTTGGAAAAGACAAACTACCTCTCAGAAATTGTGGGCTGGATGCAGTGGCTCATGCCTGTAATCCAAGCACTTTGAGAGACCACAGTGGGTGGATCACCTGAGGTCAGGAGTTTGAGACCAGCCTGACTAACATGGGGAAACCCCGTCTCTACTAAAAGTACGAAATTTGGCTGAGCATGGTGGCAGGTGCCTGTAATCCCAGTTACTCAGGAGGCTGAGGTACGGGATTGCTTGAACCCAGTAGGCAGGGGTTGCAGAGAGCTGAGACCGGGCCATTACATTCCAGCCTAGGCGAAAGAGCAAGACTCCATTTCAAAAAAAAAAGAAAAAATTGTGAGTGTTCTTTATCTAGGTGTAGACAGTCTGCCAGTTTGGAAAAGATGGTTCTTGTTTTGGAGGAGAGTTATATCAGTGGTCCCACTTAGTAGGTTTATTTAAAACAAGGCACACCAATTTCTCTGGAAGATGGTTTAACAGGATTTTTTATTGTTATTTTCCCCAAGCTACCTTCTCAATACTTCTTAGTATGCAGAGATCCTAGGTTACTGGGTTGAGCATATTTGAATACGGGCAGTGGACATTGCAGTTGAGACTCTGACCACTTCTATTTTCGGTTCAGCTGGAATGAAACCTCTCTGAAGAATTGAGATTAGCTGCAAAAGAGGTCCAAAGGCAGAAAGGATTTCAAGGATCTTCAAAGGGTAAATGTAGCCTGGAAGAGGCATACTGGTCCTGTGATGGGTATAATAATTTAGATCATTCAGTTTTATTTTTTAAAGTAATTTATTAAGGTAGAATTTATTTCCATCACTCCAAAGTAAAACTCCTTACCTTGTAAACAGTTTCTCCCCGTTCTTTACTCTCCCTAGCCTCTGACAATCACCAGCCAGCATTCTGTCTCTACGTTTATCTTTTCTGGAAGTTTCATATAAATGTAATCATACAATATTTGACCTTTTTTATCTGACTTTTACTTGGCATAATGTTTGGGAGGTTCATTCAAATTGTAGCATAAAGCAGTACTTCATTTCTTTCTGAGATGGAGTCTTGCCCTGATGCTCAGGCTAGAGTGCAGTGGTGAGATCTCGGCTCACTGCAACCTTTGCCTCCTGGCTTTAAGCAATTCTGCCTCAGCCTCCTGGTGGTTGGGATTTCAGGAATGTGCCACCATGTCCAGCTAATTTTTTTTTTTTTTTTTTTTTTTTTAGTAGAGATGGGGTTTTGCCATGTTGGCCAGGCTGGTCTCAAACTCCTGACCTCAAGTGATCCGCCTGCCTCAGCCTCCCAAAGTACTGGTATTACAGGCATGAGCCACTGCACTTGGCCACTTCATTACTTTTTATGGCTGAATAATATTTGTATATATATGCCACAATTTGTTCATTCATCTGTTGATAAGTATTTGGGCTGTTTCTACCTTTCTGCTATTTTGAATAGCGCTACTGTGAACATGTGTGAACATGTACTCAATTGAGTCCTTATGTTCATTTCTTTTGGCTGTATACCTAGGAGTGGAATTGTGAGGTCATATGGTAATTCTATGTTTAACTTTTTGAGGAACTGCCAAACTGTTTTTCTCAGCATCTGAACCATTTGCTTTCCTATCAGGAATGTGAATACAGTGCAGTTTCTCCACAGTTTCTTATGAGAAGTCTGCTCTCATTCAAATCATTATTATTATTATTCTCCATAGGTAATACATCATTGTTCTCTGACTGCTTTCAAGATTTTTTAATGTCTTAATTTTCAGCAGTTTAATTATATATATAAAATGTGTATGGGCATGGATTTTCTTTATATTTTTGGGGCTTCACTAACCTTCTTGAAACTTTTGCGTTTATATCTCTTGCTAAATTGAAAATTTGCAGCCACTAAGTCTTTAATTTTCTTTCCATTTTTTTAGCATTAGCACTCTTTTTCCTCTCCTTTTATGAGTCTGATAATAAAGTTTTCTTTTCTTTCTTTCTTTTTTTTTTTTTGAGACAGGGTCTCACTTTGTCACTCAGGCTGGAGTGCTGTGTTGCAATCTCGCCTCATTGCAAGCTCCTCCTCCTGGGTTCAAACAATTCTCCTGCCTCTGCAGTAGCTGAGATTATAGGTGCCCACCACCATGCTCAGCTAATTTTTGTATTTTTAGTAGAGATGGGGTTTGACCGTCTTGGCCAGGCTGGTCCTGACCTCCTGACCTCAGGTGATCTGCCTATCTTGGCCTCCCAACATGTTGGGATTATAAGCAAGAGCCAGCATGCCTGGTCTGTCTCACAGTTTTCTGAAGCACTGTTAATTTTTTTAAAAATCTTTTTTCTCTCTGTTGTTCAGATTGGATAATGTCTACTGAGAATCTTCAGGTTTACTGATTCTTTTTCTGTTGTGTGCATTCTGCTTTTGAGCTACTCCATGAGTTTTATTCATTTATTTGTGTTTTCTGTTTTAAAGTTTCCATTTGTATTTATTTCTTACTGTGTTTTTCTGTTCTAAAATTCCATTTGGTTCTGCTTTATGTCTTGTTTCTTTGCTAAAATGTTCTATTTTTCAATGCTTTCAAGAGTACTTTTGATTGTTCACTGAAGCCTTTTTAAAATAGCTACTTTAAAAGTGTTATCAGATAATTTCAAAGTCTGTGTTATTTCAGCAGTGGTATCTTTTGATTTTATTTTCATAGTAGAGTTGCTATTTTTTACATTTCATTTGCCAAGTAATTTTGGATTGTATGAGACTTTGAGTTTTGTTTTAATACTTATGGAAAATAGTGATATTTTCTTTTAGCAGGATGTCAACCAGATTAGGTTCAGGTCATAAGTTTCTACCCACATTCTTTGAACGGTAGTTGTCATTTTAGTTTATTTTTCAAAAGCTTTTGCAGTACCTTTTTGGTTTGTTTTGTGTGTGTGTTTCACAGTGAATTGTCTGGATTTGGATAGTAGTCTGTTAGTTGTTTCTCAAGTCTTTGTCACACTAATAGGATTGGATTTATGTATGTATGTCCAGGTTGAGAGTTATTCCAGGAATTACAAACAACTTTTTAGGGTGCTTTCCTGACCTCTCTTTTCTATTTGTTCCCACTTCTACATTTTGTTTCCCTGTGGCTTCTCTTTCCATTCTCCAGCCAGAGAACTAATGTTTCTTTTCTCCATTGGGTTACATACTTGTGCAACTGCAGTCACCATATCCAGGGCCCAATGGTAGGAGGTAGAGAAGAAAAGCAAACGGGATTAGCCTCACCCTCTTAAAACCATAGCTCCATTGAATGGAGAGAAAGGTTTTCCTACCTCAAGAGTTTTGGCTGCAGTAGGCTTTCATTACTATAGTCTGGTCCTGTTACCATGGGATTGCTTGCATGTGGGGGGATAAAAGAGGATTCAGAAAAGAAAAAAAAGATTTGCTATTTCTACATTCTTGAGCATTAAGGAGCTAAGGTTTCTTCTGGAGCTGCCTCTGTGGGCAGTTTGGGAGATACCAAAGGAGAAAAAGTACCACTGCTGCTATGGAGGTATTTCAAATTCTGGTCTTCCCTATTTCACATGCTGCTGTTTACTTTTCAGAGTCCATAAATTTCTGCCTCATGCATTCTGTCCAGTTTCTTAGGAGAAACAGCTTGGAGTATGCTTAATCCATCTTACCTGGGACTGAAACATTTGCTTGTTTTTGTCATTAAAAATTACATGCAGTTTACTGTGTGGCTCCAGGTTTATTTGTTTGTTTTTCCTCCTTAATAGGTTTATTCAGAAAACATGTCCACTGCAATTAGGGAGGTGGGAGTTTGGAGACAGACCAGAACACTCCTACTGAAGAATTACTTAATTAAATGCCGAACTAAAAAGAGTAGTGTTCAGGTAAGTTAAATAACTCTTTCCTATGCTTTGTTGCAGTTCATTTTGTTTGATATGTTCTATCTTGAAGTAGTGATTTATTTTGCTAAATTTTTTTATAACTTTATTTCCTTTTCTTGTAAACTAGAAGCTTGCCATGTTAGCCACAGAAAAATAACTGAATTACCTAATGCTTTCTAAATGCTAAAAATTCTAATAATGATTTCCACATTTAGTTAATTTTAATATCAGTGCTTAATTTTGAACTTTTAGGGATGTGTTTCTTAAGTTTCATGAACTAACATTCCAAAATAATTTTGATTCCAGAGTTTTATTCCCCACAACCTCGTATTTTATGGAGTCTAGATTGAGTTGTCCATGAGTATTAAATTATGATGCTGATTTGTACCCACAACATACATACATTACTTTTAATAAAGGTAAAAGAAAGGAAGAACTTTGGCTAACCAGCCAGTAATAATTTCAAAGGATGAAAATATATTTTTCATCTTCTCCTGAAACCAGTAAAAAAATTAAACAGCAAGATGATATAATAGCTGATTTCTACTAAAGCTGACCATAGAATATAATTTGAGTATGGTTTTGATAGTATACATTTAGTTATAATTAAATTATGATTTCTAATTCAGAATCAAATAAAGACATTTTTACGGTGAATCCGTATAGGGAGGTTTGGTAAATTGCTTTAGATAAAATTGTATGAGTGAATTTGTTATATTTTATGTCAATAATCTAAGACATTTAAATATTATCTTTTATGTAATCTTAATTATGTGACTTGAATTTTAAAATATTTCAGTAAAACTAAATTAATCATTTAATATGCCTGTTGGGTTTGATAAAGTGTTCAACACAATAATTCTTTTGGGATAAAATTGCTTTTACTTTTTATTCATAAGAAAGGACAACCAAATTTCTTGTTTTTTCTTAGTATTTTATTTGCAAAGAAATCTTGATGATTTTTGCTGCTATTGTTATACTTTGTAATTACTTTGTTTCTTTTATTGTAGGAAATTCTTTTTCCACTATTTTTTTTATTTTGGTTAATTTTAATTAGCATGATGCATCCAAATAAGAAATATGAAGAAGTGCCTGATACAGAACTTAATCCTATGGACAAATTTATTCTTTCTAATCTAATTCTTGGGTATACTCCAGTGACTAACATTACAAGCAGCATCATGCAGAAAGTGTCTACTGATCACCTTCCTGATGGTATTGTGAGCTTATATATATTCTATTTATAATACTAAGCCTGTTCAATATTTATCAGCTTGCTTTACTGAATAAATAGTAGTCTTAACACTTAGAGATGTGTTTCTCCACCAAAGTATAGTTTTATAAAAATGCTAAAATTGTTTAATTCTGTTGCCTTTTCTTGTGAAACATTATAAGATACAAGATTTGATGAGTTATTTCATTTTTGATTCTGACTCTTATATAATTATGAAGCTAGAAATGTTTAGCTGAATGTGGTAGCATGTACCTGTAGTTCCACCTACTCAGAAGGTTGAGGAGGGGGGATCCCTTGAGCCCAGGAGTTTGGGTCTGCAATGAACTATGATCGTACCACTTCATTCCAGCACTCCTTACTCTGGGCAACAGAATTAAATAATTTTAGCATTTTTATAAATAAAAAATTAAAACATTTAAAAAGAAGCCAGTAATATGTGATAAAGACTGTAGTCACCTTTTCAGTTTATTATGCTTGTTTATGGAAGTATGTGGTGTAAACTGAAGAAGTACCTAACTTTGGAGACTACAACTATGACTTTGGCTAAGTCTCTAACTCTGTTTTATATATATATATATATATATATATATATATACACACACACATATACACATGCTAAGTCTCTGTGTGTGTGTGTGTGTGTGTGTGTGTGTGTGTGTGTGTATTTGTAGAAATGGGATCTTGCTTTGTTGCCCAGATTGGTCTCATCTCCTGGGCTCAAGCGATCTTCCTCCCATGGCCTCTCAAAGTGTCACCTAAGTCTTTTTTCTCAATGTGTACTTCTCACAAAGAAGTGAAGTAGAAAACAGTGTAAGCAGTGAGGTGCCAGTGAACTGAAAGTGGCTGTGAGAGAACTTAAATCAAAACCTGGAGAAAGTGACAGAAATTCTTATAAAATTAATGATTAAACAATGAAGTGCTGAATTATAGAAAATAACAGATTAGCATGTTATTTTTTGCCATATGGGATAGTTGTAATTAACTTATATTTCATCACATTATTGGATTATACATCATTGAATGGGAAGTGTTAATTTTACAGTCAGAACCCAAGTAACTTTTATTCTATTGGTTTCTTTCTCTGCTTATTTCTATTTAATATTTTGATTAAACACACTTCTTATTGTTATATGTTAGTGTATCATATTAGGCACAAGTAGCATAGATTACCATGAGAATTTAGTGTACAAGCTCAAAAAGCTGATTAAAAATGTTGAAATGAAATTCATTGGTAATTCTGAGTAGGAGGAAAGAGTATAAACCAAAGAAATGTTTGGCCAAACGTGGTAACACACACCTGTAATCCCAGCACTTTGGGAGGCCAAGGTGGATGGATCACCTGAGGTCAGGAGTGCGAGACCAAACTGGCCAACATGGTGAAACCCCGTCTCTACTAAAAATACAAAAAAAAAAAAAAAATAGTCAGGCATGGTGGCGGATGCCTGTAATCCCAGCTACCTGGGAGGTTGAGGCAGGAGAATTGCTTGAACCCAGGATGCGGTGGTTGCAGTGAGCTGAGATTGTGCCACTGCACTCAAGGCTAGGCAACAGAGTGAGACTCTGTCTCAAGAAAAAAAGAGAAAAAAAAGAAATGTAAGTCAGTGTGTATTAACTTAGATGCCAAAATAGTGGGCATATATACATACACGTTTTAGACTTCTGTATTTTTAACAACAGAACTATGTGAAAATGGGTTATGCATACATACATAACATGACTGGTAGGATGTTGAACTAACATGCTCTTTATTCATGTAAATCCTGTAGTTCCTTTTCCCTCTTAAAGGGCCTGGAAAATCTTATTAATTAACATTTAAGTAATATTTTATAATCTACAAAGTATTTTTTTCTTCTTTTTTTGAGATGGGATCTTACTGTCAAGCTGGTGTGCAGTGCGGTGATCTCAGCTCACTGCAGCCTCTGCCTCCTGGGCTCAAGCAGTGATACTCCTGCTTCAGCCTCCTGAGCAGCAGGGGGACACCACCATGCCTGATTAATTTTTGTGTTTTTGTAGAGACAGGGTTTTGCCATGCTACCCAGGCTGGTCTTGAACTCTTGGAGTCAAGCAATTTACCTGCCTCTACTTTCCAAAGTGCTGGCATTATAGGCGTGAGCCACCACACCCAGGCTACAAAGCATTTTGATGTTTATTACTTCACTTGTTCTCACAACAACCCAGTGTCATCAGCTAGGCATTGTAGATGAGAACACTAAAGTTTGAGGAGTGTCAATCATCTGTCTGTGCTCACACAGTTCAAAAATGATGAAGTTAAGTACTAATTCTATATTCTTTCCATTTCATCACGTTTGAAGCTTCTGTAGTGAAGATTAGTTGCTTGTAAACAAAACTACAAGAAAGGATTTAAAAATTAGTCTTATCTGATGAGAAAAAGTGATTACAGTGTTTTTTCCACATATATCTTAATAAAGGAATGAGCAATATTGGACAATTTTTATTTAAGGAGGAGTTGTATCATAGTTAATAAAATGCCTACTTGGTTTCTGAGGATTATGGAATTTTCTTTATAAGAAATATTTGCAAATAAAAATGCATATATTTACTAAAAAGTTACTTTTGTGCAGGCGCAGTGGCTCATACCTGTAACCAGCTAGTCAGGAGGCTGAGGTGGGAGTAACACTTGAAGCTGGGAGTTCAAGACCAGCTTAGGAAACATAGTGACACCTCATCTCTACAAAAATTAAAAACAAAAAATCAGCCAGGCATGGTGATGAGTGCCTGTAGACCCAGCTCTACTCCAGAGGCTGAGGTGAGAGGGTCTCTTGACACCTGAAGTTCGAGTGCAAGATCCCATATACTGCAGCCTAGGCAACAGAACAAGACTCTGTCTCTAAAGAAATATAACATGAAACAGCTGTATTTTTTAGTTACTTCTAGATAGATAAATGAACTGCATTACTAACAATTTTTATAATTTTATTGCTGCCTGAAATTAGTTTAGTATAATTCATTGAAGTTTTAGGAAGCAGCAATTTCTTGATGAAATATGAGTTCTGCATATTTTTGGGACTATATTTCATCATGTTTATAACATAAGTATAATACTGACCCATTTCTATAATCAAATGACAGCTGAGTAGGGTCTGCAATATTATACCATTTTATTCTTGATTATTATTTTTTTGGAAGAATTGTCTTTTTTTTTTTTTTTAGTCATGGTCTCACTCTGTTGCCTAAGTTGGAGTGCAGTTGCTCATTTATGGCTCACTGCAGCCTCGACCTTTCAGGCTCAAGTGATCCTCCCACCTCAGCCTCCCAAGTAGCTGAGACTACAGGCACACATCACCACACATGGCTAATTTTTTGTTTTTTGTAGAGATGAAACCTCATGATGTTGCCTGGGTTGGACTTGAACTTCTGACTCAAGCAATCCTCCTGTCTTGGTCTCCCAAAGTGTTGGGATTATAGGTGTGAGCCACTATGCCTGGCCTATCTTCATTTTTAAAGAAGCAAATATAGCAGAGTGCTTATAAAATATTCCATTTATTAAAAATAATGGTAAACTTGATCTACTATATTATAGTATTTTAATTTGTGAGCTAACTATATTGTTATGATACCTTACAGTCATAATTACTGAAGAATATTCAAATGAAAAAGAAATGTTAACATCCAGTCTTTCGAAGCCCAGCAACTTTGTAGGTGTGGTTTTCAAAGACTCCATGTCCTATGAACTTCGTTTTTTTCCTGATATGATTCCCGTATCTTCTATTTATATGGATTCAAGAGGTAAATAGCTCTACATAATCATCGAAGATCAATTAAATGCATATCTTCGCTGCTTGTAGTTCATAGTCAAAATTTGATAAAGTTCAATATTGGCATTTTCAACTATTCTTACTTGTTCCAATAGGAAAACTAAGAAGTATAGCATAAAAATATTTATTTATAAATATCTATCTACCTCTACACATAAAATATTTTTATATAATATCCATTTTGATTTAATACATGTATTTATATTAAATACAGTAGCATAAAGCAAATTGCATTTGGGGTTATGTGACTTTCTGTCTCTATTTTTTTCATGTACTTGCTTTTACTTATGGCATAGTACACATCTTTAAAATCTTAAGATCTTTTACTAGTGAGCTTTATTAGTTTTATATTTGAAACATGGAAAACAACCTTTGGTTGTTTAGACCTATGAAGAAATATTATCAACCACCAATATTTATTGAGCAATATCAAAATCACTATGCTAAATACTGAATTTGTGACTTTATTTCAAAAAGTTGCATTGTAAACTTGATCTATATTATAGTATTTTAATTTGTGAGCTAACTATATTGTTATGATATCTTTATAGTCATAATTACTGAAAAATATACAAATGAAGAAGAAATGTTAACATCCAGTCTTTCTAAGCTCAGCAACTTTGTAGGTGTGGTTTTCAAAGACTACATGTCCTTTGAACTTACTTTTCCTTGCTTCTGGAAGTGCTTTGGAGCTAAGTCATGTAGAATGACCTACTTTAAAACAAAAAAGTAACTTACTTTAAATAACTACGATTAATTTATTTCTTTATATTTTTATTCATTTACTTTTCAGCATTCTAACACATGTAACTTTTATTTCAAAATTTCAAGTGAATGATCAGAAATCTTATTGTCTACCTTTGCAAGTCAGTAGCTTATTTCTTTGGTCCTATAGATATTGATTGATTTTATTACTTTGGTAACCCTCCATGTAATATCTTTAAAACAATGCACTTGCATGTTCTACAGAATCTTAGATCTCATATTTTTCTCCCCATAGGTGGCTGTTCAAAATCATGTGAGGCTACTCAGTACTGGTCCTCAGGTTTCACAGTTTTACAAGCATCCATAGATGCTGCCATTATACAGGTAAATATGATAAAGGAAGAAATACAAAAACGAAGCCATTTTAAAATAAATATTTCCTAATTCTTTACAATAGTATTTGGTTTGGCTACTGTAAAGTGTACTAAATATATAACTCAATACAACTCTTTTAAGAAAAATGATTAAAAAGTCATATTATCTCATCTAGTACTTTTTGTTATGTTTTACATTTTAGCAGAAAAACTAGCCATGAAATTTATTTTTAAAATCTTACTTTTATGTCTGGGCTAGATAGCAGTAGATGAAGTTACCTTAGTTAGAATTCAAACCATTCAAATTAACCATATTTTATTCTTCCGTGTTCTGAATAGATCTGTGGCTTTTTTTTTTCTATTTGCTCTTTCTAATTGGATTCACTATGCTACAAAATTTACTATGCTACAAAATATTGTAATTTCAATGTATATCAACCATCTTCCCTACTAAACTATATGTTTTAAGTTTGTATGAATAATGATAGAACTAGAATGAAAACCTGAACAGGAGTCCTGTCTCTGTTGTTACACTGCAATGTAGTAAAATGACTATAATAATAATACTTGACAGCATTGTTATAAGAAGCAAATGAGAAGATTCATGTAGAATTGTCTTGTAAACTTTTGCAATATAGTATAAACGTATTAAGGACATGTAATATTGCATAAATTCAGTAATACAGAAGTTTAAGGTAAAGATAGTGAAATATGAGATCTATTACACTGATGATATTATATCACCTACTGGTGTTTTGGCCAAAGTTTTTAGCCATCCACAGCTCAGACCACACTGGATGAATATGCAGGAAAGATTCCAATTTAGGCATTAATTGGAATGTTAGAAGTATTATGTGGCATAAATAGTTTTATTATTTGGTCTATATGTGCTACACATATAGACTTTAAAGCAATAAAAGGGCATGGTATTTAAAAGAACATTTTTTTAAACAATCATAGGATTGATGGCACTAAAAATTATTCCTAAATTTCTAAATTTTGAAGATGTGTATTTTTACTAAGATATATATAATTGCTTAAGATGATAATTGTGCAATTTTATTTTATTTGACAAATTAATCAAAATTTATACACTTAACGACTTTAAACTTTATGGTGTACCTTTAGAATAAATTGAAAACAATATTCTACTCTGAATTATGATACTGGGGTCACTCGCTTTATTTTAGGTATGTAGCTATTTGAGGATTATATTTATACTAGGTTATTGACTAAATTTAGGGATATAGCTGTCCTACTTTATTAGAGGCTACTATCATAATGAAATTAATTTAATGTTTTTACATTTTTTAATTATAGTTGAAGACGAATGTTTCTCTTTGGAAGGAGCTGGAGTCAACTAAAGCTGTTATTATGGGAGAAACTGCTGCTGTAGAAATAGATACCTTTCCCCGAGGAGTAATTTTAATATACCTAGTTATAGCATTTTCACCTTTTGGATACTTTTTGGCAATTCATATCGTAGCAGAAAAAGAAAAAAAAATAAAAGAATTTTTAAAGATAATGGGACTTCATGATACTGCCTTTTGGTATGTTATTAAAAATTTGTTCCTTAACATAAACATTGTATTAAATATGCATATTTTCAGAATTGTAATTTTGCTATTTACCTAACTTGATGAAGTGCTTATCATGTTTTCACAATGGTTGCCTTAGTCTTGGAATTTGAGATTAGTCAACAAACTTCAACAACTAATTGGCTTCTTTTAACATAAAAGGGATGAAGAATATGGAAAGTTTGTGTTGACAATACATGTAAATTTCATTTCACTTTTTTTTAATCATGGGCACACTCCATGTATATTTCAGAATATTTCAATATACTCCATGTACATTTCTGTATATTTCAGAATTTGGAAAATGTGAAATCTTGGAACATTAGAAATTAATTGCCTGTTACAGTTCTTCCATAATGTAGCTTATATATGATATTAAAAATTTAGTTACAGTGATTAAAATCTGAATATGTGGTATAGGGACTTTTTTTCTTTTGAAAGTTTTTGTTATTTGGGTGAACTAAGATGAATATGCAAATAATTTTAGAGAAAAATATGATAAAAATATGTTTTCACAAGTAACCTTTAATGTATCAGCATTTTTATACAGTGATAATTTTATAAAGGCATGCATTTTTATAAATAATTCTAAGTGTAGTTTCCTTATTCTTTCCACTGTGTAATGAAGTTTGTTTTGGGGGAAAGGGTAATACTGTGCATGTGAGCTGTTACTGTAGTCTGTTTTACAAAATTTTATCCCAATTAGCCCAATGTAACAATTAATTATAACACTTTACATAATGGGGTTATTGTATATAACATATTTCCTTTGCTTGTTTTTCTTTCATTTGTTATTTTAGAAAGTATGGGTTTGGGTTTTTTTTTTTTTTTTTTTTGAGACAGGGTCTTTCTCTGTCACCTAGGCTGGAGTATGGTGGCATGATCATGGGTCACTCACTGTGGCCTCAAACTCCCTGGCTTAAGAGATTCTCCCACCTCAGCCTCTCAAGTAGCTGGGACGACAGGGGCATGATCCCATACCCAACTAATTTTTAAATTTTTTGTACAGGCTGATCTCAAAGTGTTGGCCTCAAGTGATCCTTTCATCTCAGCCTCCCAAAGTGCAGGGATTATAGGCATGAGCCACTGTGCCTGGCCAAAGGATTGGTTTTTAAGATTTATTGGGTTATTAAAATATTTTGTGGAGAACCAGTAGCTGGAAGAATTTAGGCAAATTGTTCTCTCAGGCTATCAGTTTTGCCTCTGTAAAATGATGCATTCTATTTTGATCATTTTGCTACCTTTTTAGCCTTAACTCAGTGATTTTATGACATATATTAAATGCTGAGCTAACTTGAAAAAATATGTAAAATAAAAATACTGCAGCAAATCCATTGAGCTCTGATTTGTAAAGAAATCTTGAGTAAAAATAGTGAATTCCTTACTGATCTTGTTGATTTCACATTGTGTAATTGTAATTATGTCATTGATTAGTGAGGTAAGGTAGTTTTTATTGTTTATAATTACAGAAGCCATCAGAGATTTAATTGTAGCACTTGCCATGAAGAAAATTGTTATCTTGACTCATTAAAGTTTTATATTTTAAGAAAATCAGAGATATTATGTGCTATTGAACTTTTGAGAGTATTAGATTTAAATTAATTATGAATTACTATTCATTTTGAAAGCTCTTTTGACTCTGGAAGATAGTATTTTTATCACATTATACTTTTACCTATCACTTAATCAATACTATATTTTTAATTACTTGTAAGACTATTAATTTTCAATACATAGGCATACACAGAAATGAACAATGGCTTAATTTTGAGAATTCAATGGCTAAAATCTAAATTTTGTTTAAAATGATTTTTTAACTGCCTAAGCCTATGCATTTGACCATAAATATGTCTGTATTCTCATTTTAGGCTTTCCTGGGTTCTTCTATATACAAGTTTAATTTTTCTTATGTCCCTTCTTATGGCAGTCATTGCAACAGCTTCTTTGTTATTTCCTCAAAGTAGCAGCATTGTGATATTTCTGCTTTTTTTCCTTTATGGATTATCATCTGTAAGTATTTTAACTTGGGATGGGAATAAAGAACTGTCAAAATGTTTGATAACATAGCAAGGTCTTTTTTTCAGTTTGCTTATAGTCAATTTGCCATAGAAGACAGATTTTACTAAGTTATTGATAAGTGACTTAATAAATAAATGATATAGCATCACTGTATCCCTGTATTTTTAGAAAGTTACAAAATAGTTTTAAGTTTAGATTTAGCTTATTTTCATATGACGTATTTCACGTACAACTCCTCTGAGTCTATCTGTTATTGTCTTTATATATTGATGTATGTAATTAAGACTGTTGAATATTAGACTGTTTTTGTCTTCATGAAATCCTTACTTTTTCAAGTTGATTTATACTCCAGGATGATGATGATTTTTCTTTTTTTAGATGGAGCCTTGCTATGTCACCAGGCTGTGTCACAGTGGCACAATCTTGGCTCACTGCAATCTCCGCCTCCTGGGTTCAAGCGATTCTTCTGCCTCGGCCTCCCGAGTAGCTGGGACTACAGGAACGCACCACCACGCCCGGCTAATTTTTGTATTTTTAGTAAAGATGGAGTTTCACCATGTTGGCCAGGATGGTCTGGATCTCTTGACCTCGTGATCTGCCCGCTTCAGCCTCCCAAAGTGCTGGGATTACAGAAGTGAGCCACCTCACCTGGCCCAGGATGATGATTTTTAAAGCTATGTCTTTGCAAATGTAACTCTTTAGCAGTGTTGGTATTCATTTGGCATATTGGCTGAATGATGGGTTTTAACCACCAGCCTTTGTTTTAAGTGGTTCCATCTTCCATTCTGATTGGTGTATGTGCCTATCATGTACCAGTTGATAAATATTTTGGCTATTATCCCTGCTCTTTAAAATAATAAATTATAGTTGGGCACGATGGCTCACACCTATAATCCCAGCACTTTGGGAGGCCAAGGCAGGTGGATCACAAGTTCAAGAGATCAAGACCATCCTGGCCAACATGATGAAACCCCGTCTCTTCTGAAAATACAAAAATTAGCTGGATGTTGGACACGCATCTGTAGGCCCAGCTACTCGGGAGGCTGAGGCAGAAGAATCGCTTGAACCCGGGAGGCGGACGTTGCAGTGAGCTGAGACTGTGCCACTGTCCTTCAGCCTGGTGACAGAGCAAGACTCCTTCTCAAATAATAATAATAATAGTAAATTACAAATAACTAACATACTTCCACATGTAATTTCCTGTTTGTTTTTAATTTTTAATTTAATTTTTAGATAGGGTCTTGCTCTGTGGCCCAGGCTGGAGTGCAGTGGCACACTCATAGCTCCCTGCAGCCTTGACCTCCCAAGCTCAAGTAATCCTTCAACCTCAGCCTCCTGAAATATATATACTATAAAATAATATATATAATAAAAATAAAAATATATATAGTAAATATATATACTATAATATATATAATAAAAATATATATTAGAAATATATATATAATATTGTATTATATATATTATGTTATTAAAAAATATATATATATATTAGAGTCAAGGTCTTCCTATGTATCCAAGTTTGGTCTCCTGGGCTCAAGTGATCTACTTGCCTCTGCCTCCCAAAGTGCCAGGATTACATGAGTGAGCCACTGCACCAGGCCTCCTGGTTTTTTGTTTTTGTTTTTTTTTAAACTGGCTTTTTATGTTATAGATATATTAAGTTTAAAATATGGGTCTTGTACTTAAAATTTTTGTTGATTTATTTTTGTTCACATATTTTGTACATCTTACTGCAGAAACTCATGGCCATTTATGGTTTCTATATTGTAGAGGTGGTCATGTTTACCTATGATAACTATGATACAGATAAAAATGCAGTCTTTAATGTTTGTTAGTTTAGGGCTAGGTGTGGTGGCTCACACCTGTAATCCCAGCACTTTGGGAGGCCGAGGCAGGAGGATTGCTTGAGGCAAGGAGTTTGAGACCAGCCTGGGCAACATGGTAAAACCCTGTCTCTACAAAAAAATACTAAAATTAGCTGGACGTGGTGGCCCACTCCTGTAATCCCAGCTACTCCGGAGGCTTAAATGGGAGGATCACTTGAACCCATGAGGTAGAGGTTGCAGTGAGCCAAGATTGCACCACTGGACTTCAGGTAGGGTGGCAAAGCAAGACCCTGTCTCCAAAACAAAAACAAAAACAAAAATCACAAAAGTATTTGTTAGTTTAAATTTTTAAAACGTTTATCACTATTTGTATAAAAATAAAATATCTTCCCATAGCATTTAGAAATTATAGTTGTATTTTAATGAATGTATTTTTCATGAAAATAGCTTCTTTCACAAGCAAACTTTAATTCTGTTTTCATACCAGTGTATATGAATATTGCACTAACATTAATATTTATATTTATAGGTATTTTTTGCTTTAATGCTGACACCTCTTTTTAAAAAATCAAAACATGCGGGAATAGTTGAATTTTTTGTCACTGTGGCTTTTGGATTTATTGGCCTTATGATAATCCTCATAGAAAGTTTTCCCAAATCGTTAGTGTGGCTTTTCAGTCCTTTCTGTCACTGTACTTTTGTTATTGGTATTGCACAGGTAGGTAATATATTAATCTTGCATTCACTAAATATTTTCTTTCTGTTTTATGTAGCTCCTTATACTACCATGAATGCTACCTTTGATTTACAAAAAAAATTATTTTAAAATTTCAGCATGAGGAAGAAATTATTTCTGGAGTATATTTTATATCTAGTTTTCTTTATATTTTCTCCAATTTTTTTTAGTTTAATGTTCTGTTTATAAATTTTTCACTTTTTAACTTCAATGTATCTCAGTAATTTATTTCACTGCAGAAACTCAGTTTGATAGTAGTTTGTTTAAATGTCAAGTAATTCTTATTGCCCTATAGACTGGTTATACTGCTACTATTTATACATTTATCTCAGAATAATGTATGGGAAAAACTTGTGTGGGAAGCAGAACAAATTTATTGTGAGTGTAGTGGTGAAGTAAGTAGGCCTGGTGGATTTTGCTGTTCCAGGCTTCATGGAATTCTCAGTTATCTAAATAATGTTCAGACTTATAAATATTATTTTTATTAGTCCTTACAAGGGTAGTCAGGTTCTAAATGAAAGAAATCTTATAAGAAACTGCTTTTCTGTAAGTAAGCAGCCATTAAAAAAAAAAAGAAAGAAACTGCTTTGTAGTGGAACATAAATTTGGCTAATGTACAGAGAAAAACATGTAATTACTAAATATAAGAAATTACTCATGTTGGATGGATAGAAATTCTGATTTATGAGATACAATTAAATACTGAGTTAATCATTTTACTTATTTATGACCTAAGAGTGATTGTTATAAATTTTGAGAGTTCACTGATTCCCCCTTCTCTAGGAATGTAGAATTATAGATTCATAGGTTTTTGTTGTGAGTGGGATGGCCTTTCAGTGTCATTGAATTCATCATCTTCATTTTATAGATGAGGGAACTGAAGCCTAGAATAGTATAATTAAAATGTGTTCACTTAATGACAGGGCTAGGACCTAAAGGAGGCTTCAACCTCCACTACACTTCTTTTTCCACACTATCACAAATGTATACTATGAATATTTTAATAATTAATCAAAATACCTGCTTCCTTTTTACTATTAGAAAGATGCTAACCATAATTTTATTCTCCAATACTTACTTTGTTTGGCTTCCATAAGGATCATAACCCTTTTTTTAGCATTTGTAATTATTAATATTGCAGTTTATTTTTATTTCATTTGTTAGTAATTACCTTGGAATTAAATGCCCCTAGAGAAAATATATCCTAGTTAAAAAAGTACAGCATTAAAAATGATTGAAAGGTATTATTTTGATAAACATATTTTTGTAAAGTCTTTATTGTTTTCCTTATAAATTTATATTATTAATTTGGTAAACTGTTTAATCTGTTAAAAGGTCCAGTTTGGTTACTGTCACTCTAGATATACTGAATAACTCTAAGTAGTGTTAGCTTTTGCTTGTTTTTGTCATTTTTATGTAATAAAATTAGTGTTTCTATTTTTCAGGTTATGTATTTAGAAGATTTTAATGAAGGCGCTTTATTTTCAAATTTGACTGCAGGCCCATATCCTCTAATTATTACAATTATCATGCTCACACTTAACAGTATATTCTATGTCCTCTTGGCTGTCTATCTAGATCAAGTCATTCCAGGTATGCAGGTGGTTATTGAATTTTACTTTAAAGATTTTTTGGCTTTTTTGCTCACATAGGGTCATCTTAATTTTTTTTTTTTTTTTTTAGCCAGGGTACCCTAAGTCATATTCATTATTAAATCTTTTAATTTGATTTTAAATAAGCATATTTTGTACCTTAGGCTGTAGCCACTTGTGACCATAAAGAGATTGTATAAAAAGAGAGCAGTTTGTTTTGAAAGCCTTAAGTCTCTAGTGGATCTTAACTTGGTCCTTCTTTATATCAGTCTTTTTAAATTAAGTATTTTATTTTACCCTCTAAGGTCCAAAACTGTGAAGTGATCTCGTAACTCCTACATTTTCTTTATCTTCTGTCCACATCTATAGCCAATATAGCAAACTCCTATAGATTCAATAGTAGTCTTAAGTATCTAGCACTTTTTCTTTTCCCCTTGTATTCCTCATTACCTGTGTCTGTATTCTACACCTGGGCTGTCATATATGGTAACTACTAGCCATGTGTGGCTTTTAAAATTTAAATTGATTAAAATTAAATCAATTAACAATTTTTTTTTTCAGTAGCACAAGCCATATTCCAGTGCTCAGTAGCCGTATATGGCTGTTAGTTACTAAATTGTATGGTGCGATCTAGATGTTCTATGGAACATTTTCACCATTATGAAAGTTGTGCTGTGTAATACTAGTCTAGTTTAGGGGTTCCCAACTTCCAGGACAAGGACCTCACTAGTAACCTGTTAGGAACTGGGCTGCACAGCAGGAAATGAGTGGTGAGCAAGCAAGAGAAGCTTCATTTGTATTCACAGGTGCACCTCATCACTCACATTACCACCTGAGCTCTGCCTCCTGTCAGATCAGCAGTGGCAGCATCAGATTCTCATAGGAGTGTGAACTCTATTGTGAACTGCGCATGTGAGGGATCTAGGTTGTATGCTTCTTCTTCTTTTTTTTTTTTAAAGACGGGATTTCACCATGTTGGTCAGGCTGGTCTTGAACTCCTGAACTCAGGTGATCTGCCCACCTTGGCCCTCAAAGTGCTTGGATTACAGGCATGAGCCACATGCCTGGCCAGTTGTATGCTTCTTATGAGACTCTAATGCCTGAGGATCTGTCACTGTCTCCCATCATCCCCACTTGGGACCGTCTGGTTGCAGAGAAACAAGCTCAGGATTCCTACTGCTTCAATATTATAGCGAGTTGTATAATTATTTCATTATGTATTACAGTGTAATAATAATAGAAGTAAAGTGCACAATAAATGTAATACATTTGAATCATCCTGAAACTATCCTTGCCCTTTGTCTGTGGAACAGTTGTCTACCATAAAACTGGTACCTTGTGCCACAAAGGCTGGGGACCACTGTTCTAGACCATTGCAGTACCTCTCATCTAGTTATATACCTCAAGTCTATCTGAACACTTCACCTCCTTTTTTTTTTGAGGTTTTTATTATTATTATTACTGTTTTTTATTTCAATAGGGTTTTGGGAAATAGGTGGTGTTTCGTAACATGAATAAGTTCTTTATTGTACTCATCACCCGAGCAATGTACACTGTACCTAGTGTGTAGTCTTTTATCCCTCTCCCCTCTCCCACCTTTTCTCTGAGTCCCATCATCTATTGTATAGTTCTTTCGTCCTCATAGCTTAGCTCCCACTTATGAGTGATAACATACGATTTTTGGTTTTCTGTTCCTGAGTTAACTTCACTTAGAATAATGGTCTCCATTTCCATCCAGGTTGCTGCAAATGGCATTATTTTGTTCCTTTTTATGGATAAGTAGTATACTATGGGTGTGTGTGTGTGTGTGTGTGTGTGTGTGTGTGTGTGTGTGTATCACATTTTCTTTATCCAGTCTTGGCTGATGGACATTTAGGCTCATTTCATATTTTTGCAATTGTGAATTGTGCTGTTATGAACCTGCTTGGGCAAGTATCTTTTTCACAGAATGACTTCTTTTATTCTGGGTAAATGCCTATGAGTGGGATTGCTGGATCAAACTCTAGATTCACTTTTAGTTCTTAAAGGAATTTCCACACTATTTTTTATGGTGTAGTTTACATTCCTATCAACAGTGTAAAAGTGTTCCCTTTCACCACATCCACACCAACATCTATCACTTTTTGATGTTTTGATTATGGCCATTCTTGCAGGAGTAAGGTGATATTGCATTGCGGTTTTGATATGCATTTCTCTGATCATCAGCGATGTTGAGCATTTTTTCATGTTTGTTGGCCATTTGTATATGTTCTTCTGAGAGTTGTCTATTCATGTGCTTAGGCTACTTTTTGATGGGATCGTTTGTTTTGTTCTTGCTGATGTTTGAGTTACAGAGTTTAGATATTAGTCCTTTGTCGACGTATATATTGCGAAGACTTTCTCCTACTCTGTGGGTTGTCTGTTAACTGCTGATTATTTCTTTTGCTATGGAGGTTTTTAGTTTAATTAAGTCCCATCTATTTATCTCTGTTTTTGTTGCATTTGCTTTTTGGTTCTTGATCATGGAAGTCTTTGCCTAAGCCAACGTCTAGAAGGATTTTTCTTATGTTATCTTCTCGAATTTTTATGGTTTCAGGTCTTAGATTTAAATCTTTGATTTGTCTTGAGTTGATTTTTGTATAGGGCGAGAGATGAGAATCCAGTTTCATTCTTCTACATGTGGAATGCCAGTTATCCCAGCATTTGTTGAATAGAGTGTCCTTTCCCTACTTTATGTTTTCGTTTGCTTGCTGTTGGAGCAGTAACAGTTGCCAGCGGGAATGCCACATACTGATAGAATAAATTGGAATCCCCTGTACTTGGCATCAGATTCCTTTGAAGCATGGCCAATCTAGAAGAGTAGACATTTGAAAAAAATAAGGAGTATAGGTATTTTGAGGTGAAAAAGGGAGAAAATGCAACATGTTCTGTGGGCAGTTATCACTGTACGCTATTCCTTCCTTCCCTCCTTCCTTCCTTCCTTCCTTCCCTTCTTTTTCTTTCTTTTATTTTCTTATCTTTTCTCTTCTTTCTTTTCAGTCAGGGTCTTACTGTGTTTTCCAGGCTGGAGTGTAATGGCACAATCATGGCTCACTGCAGCCTTAGTCTCCTGGGCTCATGTAATCCCCTTGCCTTGTCCTCTCAAGTAGCTGGGACTGCAGGCATGCACCACCATATCTGACTAATTTGTTGTATTTTTTTTAGAGACAAGGTTTTGCCATATTGCCTAGGCAGGTCTCAACTCCTGGACTCAAGCAATCTGCCAGCCTCTGCCTTCTAAAGTGTTGGGATTATAGGTGAGAGCCACCATGCCTGGCCTCACTGTATACCATTTCCAAGTCTCATATTTCTGTGCTGCTGCTTTGTTGTTCCCCCTAATTTTATAGTCTTTTCCATGAAGCGTATCCCTTCTTCTAGATACTACTTGTTTTCAAAGACCATTTAAGATGGTGCCCATTCAAGTCTTCAGTGCATTCAGCCTGTGTTGTGTTCTTTGCCATTTGCTATCTACTTGTACTCATAAAGGTATTAGTTCCTTTAGCACAGAAAATGTGTTTTATTCACCTTTACATCCCCCTATATTCCCCGAACCTCTGAAACTATTTTTGGACTAGAATTATTTATCAGTAAAACTTTGATTCATACAATATTGATGTAATACTTTACACCTAAACTTTATTTCCGTATTACTTTCAAATGTCAAATGAAAATTGTATATATTTATTGTGTACAACATGATGTTTGGAAATATGTATGCATTGCAGAATGGTACCTAATCTTTAGATGAAGGTTGTCATGTTTCAAATACTGTCTTTATGATTTAAAAACTAATGATAACTCAGTTTTTTAATGTTTATTTTTCAGGGGAATTTGGCTTACGAAGATCATCTTTATATTTTCTGAAGCCGTCATATTGGTCAAAGAGTAAAAGAAATTATAAGGAGTTATCAGAGGGCAATGTTAATGGGAATGTTAATTTTAGTGAAATTATTGAGCCTGTTTCTTCGGAATTTGTAGGAAAAGAAGCCATAAGGTATGATTCAATCTTTGGCAATTAAGGTATAAGAACTGCTGATGGAACCTGCCCCATATAAATCCTATTCTTTAAATATGTATGTAAATTTGGTATCTTAGATTTGGTATGTATGCCATGATTTTAAAACATTAATGGGGTGACTTCTCTTTTTCTTATTTTGTTTGCAACCATTTAGAATAAAGTTGGTGCTAGTTTTGAAATTTTATGTTTCTTTCTTTCTTTTCTTTTTTCTTTTCTTTTCTTTCTTTTGAGACAGAATCTTGCTCTGTCACCGTGTCTGGAGCACAGTGGCACAATCTCGGCTCACTGTAACCTCTGCCTCCCAGATTCAAACAATTCTTATGCCTCAGCCTCCCAAGTAGCTGGGTCTACAAGCATGTGCCACCACGCCTGGCTAATTTTTATATTTTTAGTAGAGATGGGGTTTCACCATGTTGGCCAGACTGGTCACGAATTCCTGGCCTCAAGTGATCCACCTGCCTCAGCCTCCCAAAATGCTGGCATTACAGGTATGAGCCACCACACCTGTCCCTGAAATTTTATGTTTGAATGGAAAATTTTAAAAGTAATAAAACCTGATGTTTATGCAATTAATGTTTATAGATTTTCCCATTATGTAGACTGAAACATGTTAAATATTAACTCTATAATTTTATTCATGCTACTTTGTCTTATACAGCATATTCAAGTGTCCTCTGTTAATTTTATAGATTTTTAGGGTTTTGTGAAATAATTAGAATATTACGTTAATTTTTTTTTTTTTGAGATGTAGTTTCACTCTTGTTGCCCAGGCTGCAGTGCAATGGTGCAATCTCGGCTCACCACAACCTCTACCTTCTGAGTTCAAGTTATTCTCCTGCCTGAGCCTCCCAAGTAGCTGGGATTACAGGCATGCACTGCGACGCTCTGCTAATTTTGTATTTTTAGTAGAGACAGGGTTTCACCATGTTGGCCAGACTGGTCTTGATCTCCTGAACTTAGGTGATCTGCTTGCCTCAGCCCCTCAAAGTGCTGAGATTACAGGCGTGAGCCACCATGGCTTGGCCTACTTTAATTTTTAAGAACCAAAGAAATTCATTAGTGTTCCTTGCTAGGTCAGTCAATACCAAATTTAGAAATAAAATAAGGAGAAAGAAAATAAAATGAAAAAAGTGAAGCATACTATTTTTAAAATTTAAGAAAAATGTAAAAATTCCAGAGAGAGTCCAAATACTTAAGATGTAATTTGTTGGCCAGTGGTCTCCTTTATCAAGGGTAAATTTTAACTGATTAACAAATCATTTCCTTAAAAAAAAAATGAAAAAAAAGTTAGAATAAGAAAATCACTTCATCTTTATTAATGGTTTGAAATGTGTGCTGACATGAAATAGCATCTGTTTTTATATACCCCTTCACTGATCTAACAAGTGTTTGATAATCAGAAATGAAAAGAAATCCATAAATTGGCTTAAATTGAATGCTTCACTTAGTTTTAGAAGCTGAGTTGGCATGAAAAATGAATCAGTGACACTTACAATGGAAAGGAATACTGTGCTTTTCTCTGGCAGCTTCTTTAAAATAATTTTATAATTGATCTCTGAATAACACAAGTTTGAACTGCACCAGTTCACTTACACATGGATTTTTTTCAATAAACATATTGGAAAATTTTTTGGAGATTTGCAATTTGAAAAAATTTGCAGATGAACGTTAGCCCACAAATATTAAATAATAATAATAATGTTAGGTATGTCACAAATGCATAAGATATTTATAGATATTAGTCTATTTTAACATTTACAATCATAAAATATGCACAGATCTAGTCTGTTAAGTTATACTTTATCAAAACTTAATGCACGCAATTCTGACAGACCATATATTATGCCAATGCATGGTTAAGAGAAATGTAAACAAATGTGAAGATGCAATATTAAATCATAACTGCATAAAGTTAACTACAGTATTACTGTACACTGTAGTAATTTTGTAGCACCTTCTTTTCCTGTCATGGTGAGCTTAAGTGTTCCAAGTATATACTTCAAATGCCTTGAGATGACTCAAATTATTACCTTGTGAGCAGTTCATCTCTCCAGTAAATTGCATATCATGATAAAAAGTAATGTCTCAGGGCTCTTGCTTATTTTTTTTAATCGTGTTTTGTGCAATACTTCAAGCCTTGAATAGCATCATGGGATACATAGGAATTGCCACTAGTGATGCTGGAAGTGCACTCAAGAAACAGAGAAAGGTCATGACAAAATAAGAGAAAGCTGAACTGCTTGATATGTATCATAGATTGAGGTTTGAGAGTACAGATGCCTGCCATTTTGAATAGACTGTGTATTTTGTTCATCTTATAAATAGATGATGTAAACTGTTGGCATCGATAAATATAGTATAGTACTGTAAACATATATATTTTCCTTATAATGTTCCTAACATTTTCTTTCCTCTAATGTACTTTATAAGAATATAGTATTTAACATTTAAAACCTGCAAAATATATGTTAACCGACTGTTTATGTTATCTTCAAGGCTTCATATCAGCAGTAGGCTGGTAGTAGATTAGTTTTGGAGGAGTAAAAAGTTATATGTGGATTTTCAACTGTGTAGCAGGAGGAGTTGGCACTCCTAATCTGTGTTTTCAAGCATCAATTGTATAGTTATTATCAGCTTTCTTTGGTTCATTGTTTTAGTAGGAAAGTACTTTATTATTATTTTATTCTTATAAAATGTGATAGCTTTGATAAAAATATTATACATGTAAACACACATATAAATTGCTTTAAATACTTAAAATATAAAACTCTATTTTTCAGAATTAGTGGTATTCAGAAGACATACAGAAAGAAAGGTGAAAATGTGGAGGCTTTGAGAAGTAAGTAGCTTTCCTAGTATTCAGGCCATAGTATTAAAGTACAAATAGAAAAATAATTTGTATAGCTCGTGGGAAATTTAAACTTCTCTACCAAATTTTCTGTCTTCCTTTTTTTTTTCCCCCTGAGTTGGAGTCTGGCTCTTGTTGCCCAGCTGGAGTGAAGTGGCATGATCTCAGCTCACTGTAACCTTTGCCTCCCATGTTCAAGCGATTCTCCCACCCCAGTCTCCCGAGTAGCTGAGATTACAGGCACCCACTATCATGCCCAGCTAATTTTTATATTTTTGTAGAGTCGGGGTTTCACCATGTTGGCCAGGCTGGTCTCAAACTCCTGACCTCGGGTGATTGGCCTCTTAAAGTGCTGGGATTACAGGTATGAGCCACCGCACCTGGCCTCTGTCTTGCTTTTTGAGATAACTTCCATTATGTGATTAATATTCAAAATAAAACTAACAACATGAAATTTGTAAAACTAAAAAATAATACTATTAAGATGAAAAATACTTAATTATTTGAATAAGCCTATGACATTATTTCATTTTATTATTTTGCATGTATATACAATACATGTTAGTTACCTTTTAAAAAATTCATTCGGCCTATCATAGGGTTTTTCAGCCTCAGCACTACTGACATTTTTGTCCTGATAATTCTTTGCTGTAGAGAACTGTTCTTTATTGTAGGATGTTTAGCATTGGGATTAGGGGAAGTTTGTTTTAAGTAATTACTTCATGAGATCGTGGGCCTGGTAAGTGCAGAAATCTAAAAGGCAGATTGGAAACTCAGGCAAGAGTTGAAGTTTCAGTCTTGAGTTCAAAATCTGTAGAGAGGCTGACAGGCTGCAAACTCATGTAGGAATTGGTTACATTCTTGAGGTGGGACTCTTCCAAGAAACCTCAGTTTTTTCTCTTAAGGCCTTCGATTGCATAATGTTTACCATTATTATCAAGAGTAATCCAGTTTAAGTCAGATGATTATAAAAGTTAATGACATCTACAGCAACATCTACATCAGTATTTTACCAAATAACTGTGCACTGTAGCCTAGCGAGGGGCAACTATAAAATTAACCTTCACCAGCAGCATCCCTGGCTTTGATCACCAAAGAGAGAAGGAGTTCTGCCTCAAGAATGTAACACATTCTTGCATGAGTTTCCAGCCTGTCAGCCTATGAGTTTTGGACTCAAGACTGCAACTTTAACTCTTGCCTAAGTTTTCAACCTGCCCTACAGATTTTCGAACTTACCAGACCCCACAATTTATTGAAGCAATTCCTTAAAATAAACCTTTCCTAATCCCCCAGCCCCACACTCATACTTGTTCCATTGTGTGTAGTCTCTTGGTTCTGGAGACTGACTGACACACTGCTAAACATTCCTAGCCTCTGCCCACCATGTGCCTGAGCAAACCCCCTCTCCTAGTTGTAACAACCAAAAATGTCTCCAGGCTTTTCCAAATGTTTTCTAGGAGACAAATTAATTAAGAAGAAAGTAAGTATAGTGGTATATTAATAGGGCTTTAGTTTGCATTTGCCTAATGTTGTTAGTCACCTTTCTATATGATTATTGGCATTTGGAGGTTTTCCTTTATGAAATACCTATGCAAGTTCTTTTCACATTTTGGTTTGTTAGATACAGGTATTTAAATATTTATTTCAGTCTGAGGCTTGCCTTTTAATTTTAATAATAGTCTTTTGATGAACACAAGTTCTTAATTTGAATGAAGTCCAATTTATGAATCTTTTCTTTTATGGTTACAGTGCTTTTCAAGTCTTTTTATTTAACATTGGAAATTATATGTGGCTTCCAATGTAAAGTTATTGTAATAACTAATTAATTATACTAATTGTAATAACAATTACAACTAATTGTTTCTTATACAAAGAAGCAAGAGAATGAAATAAAAGGCATCCAGATTGGAAAAGATGCAGTTAAATTATTTATGTGCAGTTGACACAATAAACTATTTTTAAAATCTTTTAGATCAACAAAGAAAATAATGGAACTGAACAGTGAGTTTTGCAAGATGATAGGATACATCATAAATAATGGAAAAATCAATTGTATTTCTATATGTTACCAACACATAATTGGAAATTAAAATTAAAAATAGCATTTAGCACTAAAAATACCCTTACAGGTAAATAAGACAAAAGATGTAAAAGACATATCCTGAAAAGTACAAAATATTACTGAGACAAATTAAAGAAGACTGAAATAAATAGAGAGAAATACCACATTAATGGGGCAGAACACTTAACATTTGGTTATTGAGTTCCCTTTCATCTTTTAACTTAGATTACTGGCCTTAGGATCTGAGACTTTTTCCTTCTTGTTTTATATTTTAGCCTTCTTAGCCTAGTTTTTGTTGTTGTTGTTTGTTTGTTTGTTTTTGAGACAGGGTCTTGCTCTGTCCCCCAGGCTGGAGTATAGTGGCACAATCTTGGCTCATCACTGCCCTGACTTCCCAGGATCAGGTGATTCTCTCACCTCAGCCTCCCGAGTAGCTGAGACTGCAGGTGCCACCACGCCTAGCTAATTTTTGTATTTTTTTAGAGACAGGGTTTCACCATGTTGCCCACCCTAGTCTCAAACTCCTGGGCTCAAGTGATCCTCCAGCCTCAGCCTCCCAAAGTGTTGGGATTACAGGTGTGAGCCACTGTGCCTGGCCAGCCTAATTTTTTTACTAAGCCATTTCTGCTTCATCATTTCAGATCCCTGTCTCCTGTCTTCCTTTAGTCCTTTATGTATCCATTCAGTGATATTGCTTCTTTAAATTTAACCTTTCAAGCCATTTCTATAGTATTAATTGCTTGGTTTTTTATTTTGCCAGTTTATTTAAATGCCTATAATTATCCTTGGGAACAAATTTTTGTTTGTTTTAATTCCCTTGGCAATGCCCAAAAATTGGGACACAGAAAACTCCCAAATATTTTGTATACTCCTAAATCTTACTGTATGAATAAGTAAAGCTTATTTTTATTTACTTTCCTTAGTGTTTATATCATTGACTGTAACAAAGAAGCTATTTTACCAGCTATCAAATATGCTGGTAACTTTAAAAATGTATTTATAGGTATATCACCTTGAAGATTGTGCAAATATTATGAATTATCATGCATAGCTGAACAGACATAAAAATCACATTTGAGTCTTCTTTTTTCCTGAACTAGATTTGTCGTTTGACATATATGAGGGTCAGATTACTGCCTTACTTGGTCACAGTGGAACAGGAAAGAGTACACTGATGAATATTCTTTGTGGACTATGCCCACCTTCTGATGGTGAGAGTTTTCTGTCTTAAAGGAAGAAAAGAAACTTCCGTGTATGTGTGTGTTTGTGTGTGTGTGTGTGTGTGTGTGTGTGTGTGTATTTAAATGTGCTGAATAATTTTTGTCAATGATTGGGACCAACTTCTGTATCTGTAAAGGTGTTTTCTTTTTTTCTTGACTGCACACATGTGGTTGTTTTTGATAGAAGATAAAAATTATTCTATCATATTTAATAAAGTAAAAAGGATCTAATTTTATACATATTTATATACATATACACACATACAACATACATCAGTATGTTATGTATGTATGTGTGTTTATTCATCATTTTCAAGGAAGGATAAATGAGTAACTTATTGGAAATTAAATCAGAACTATAGACTAGGGTTGAGAAAATAAATATAGATATCTAAATATATAGCAGTAGTTCAAAAGGAAATAATCATAAATGTGCATACTATCTTTTAAAATAGAACTTTAAAGGCATACCTCAAAAGTATAATTTTGATATGTGATTGTTCTGTAGGCAAGAATTCAATATAGTAGCTTCATATTTTGACAGTAATTAGAGTGGCAGTACAATAAATATTTTAGTTTACTTAAGGGCTGAATTGTATTGAATCTGCATTTCAACTCTTGAAATATTGTTTAACTTTTAAAATTAGTTTGGTTTTGTTATTTGTCTTTAGTTGTATCACTTTTTGATGGTAGCCATAATATCTTACATTTATATAAGAATTTATGATTTTTCTCATGATTCTTCATAATGTATGATTGTTTTGATTTAATAGTTCTTTAGTGGGATATATTAGTGTCCACTTTATAGAAAAGGAAAGCTGGAATTAAAAGAGATTAAGTAATTTGGCCATGACCACACAGCTAGCTAGGATAAAATTTATAGTTCTTTAATTCCTCCACTATTGAATAATGTCTACAAAATTGTTACTGGAATACAAGTGTAAACAATGTATCAATAGATATATATGTTTAGTGTCAAGCTTTTAGTTTCTTGATTTTTCCACTATGTTATATGACCTATAAGTGATGGAAAATGAGATAGAAATATAAGTGGATGCAGATCATCAATAACATGGAAAAGAGGGTATATTGTGTCTTATAAATTTATATTAATTTTTTAGCTTATTTGTCTGTTATAACCAAATAACTAAGTTATCAGGATACTTCAAAACATACACATTTAAAATAATTAATGTACATTTAAATATATATTTTGCTTTTAGGGTTTGCATCTATATATGGACACAGAGTCTCAGAAATAGATGAAATGTTTGAAGCAAGAAAAATGATTGGCATTTGTCCACAGTTAGATATACACTTTGATGTTTTGACAGTAGAAGAAAATTTATCAATTTTGGCTTCAATCAAAGGGATACCAGCCAACAATATAATCCAAGAAGTATGCTATTCATATAGAAATCTTTGCTTTTATTTTCTGTAATTAATAACCTTTTGTAATGACTTGTGCAATAAAAATATGCTTGAAAATCTAAATATAACACTTGTCTCAAGCCAATAAACAGAAAGCTATTACAAAGAATTATACAGAATTTGGAGTAAATGTTTTAGCAAACATAAAAGTTTGTTTCATCTGGAGGATGCTTGTCTGCCATACTCCTCCCTTCTCTTCCTCTCATCTCCTCTACCCGCTCCTACTTCCACACATGCACTAAGAGCCATCACATTGATCTCTTCTACCCAAGAAGATACAAAAGTAAAACCTTTCCCTCAAGAATCTTACCTGTTGTTTTCATAATTATATATGAATATATGTCAAAGAAAGTTCCATGCTAAAGAAACATTTTAAAGTTGAAATTAAAATTATTTAAAAACATATGTTACTTAAATATTTAACACATTAAAACAAAATATTTAAAAAGTAATATTGATAATTACATAAATGATATGATTTTTAAAATAACATTGGTCATGTTTTACTTTTACAGGTGCAGAAGGTTTTACTAGATTTAGACATGCAGACTATCAAAGATAACCAAGCTAAAAAATTAAGTGGTGGTCAAAAGAGAAAGCTCTCATTAGGAATTGCTGTTCTTGGAAACCCAAAGGTAAATAAATATTAGTTTTATAAATGAGACTATTTTAAATGATGTCAAATTAAAGAGCAGGTTGTAGAAAGATATATACATAAAATACTATGTAAAGGTTAAGTATATACATAAAATACTATATGCTATTATGGATGTAATCACAGTGATGAGATTTTAAAACTGAAGTCAGAAAGATGTACAATTTTTTTTTCAATTTTTAGTAGTTTTTGAGGTACTAGAGCATTTTGGTTACATGGATGAACTATGTAGTGGTTAATTCTGAGATTTTAGTGTACCCAACTCCTGAGTAGTTTACATTGTACTCAATATGTAGGTTTTTTTTTTAATTCCTCACCCTCCTTCCACCCTTCTCTTTCTGAGTTACAACATCTTTATGATAACTGGTTACTTTTAGGAAGCAGAATGGAAGAATAGACCTTAGTTATGACTGCTGTGCTTTCTTTCTTTCTTTCTTTCTTTCTTTCTTTCTTTCTTTCTTTCTTTCTTTCTTTCTTTCTTCTTTTTCTTCTTCTTTTTTTTTAATTTGTAGAGATAAGATCTTGCTGTATTGCTAGGCTGGTCTTGAACTCCTGGCCTCAAGCAATCCACCTGCCTTTGCCTTCCAAAGTGTTGGGATTACAGGCATGAGTCACCACGCCTGGCCTCCATGTTTCATTTCTTTAAAAAATTATCTGAAGAAAATATGGCCAAAAAATAACATTGCTGAATTGGAATGGTAGCTTTAATAGTATTACTCTCTTGTTCTCTGTAGTTTAAAAAAAATATTTGTTATAGTTAATAACAAAGGTTAAGAAATGTAACAAAATCAAAGGAATAATTCAGTTTGTCACTGTCTTCTGCTTTGATTTTGTATGTATTTGTTTTGTGCTGTTCTCTGTCATAGAAACAGAGAAACAACTGATGTACTACTTTACACAAGGCATTAAAACTAACAGGTGCATGCAGCTAGGATGACCATCCCAGGTTGAGTGATGTCCTAGGAAAACTCACAGGACTCAGCACAGAGTCATACTCATTGCTATGATTTATTACAGCAGCTAGGATGATCTCCTGTTGATCCCCACCATCTTGCCACACTCCCCCTTGCTGTTGCAGCTGGGGAATGATTCTGGATCCCGGCTCTATGTTACTTAGTCTTCCTCTCAGCCCCCATCACCATGTTGTTTTTTTTTTAATTAAAAATAGTCTTGAAACAAATTGTTTCCCTTGAACTAATATAAAACCATATATTCTTCTCCAAAAAAGCAAGTGTTACATCTATAAATGCAGTTGTTAAGGATAATAGCAATATACTTAATGTTGTTGTTTAGATTATTTGTCATTATGCTTTTGTCTTATATATTACAGACAGTCTTTTAGAATTAAACCAGGGAAAATATTCACATGACAAATTTATAATTTAAAAAATTTATGTGAGCACAACTATGAATGAAAAAAGAAATCTGATCTATTATATTTATGATTGAAAATACTAACTTGAAATGGAGCCGTTTTTTAGTGTCCACATGCATTTTTAATATTTAGTTTTTCTGAGGATTTTCTTTTTATACAGGTACTACTGCTAGATGAACCAACAGCTGGAATGGACCCCTGTTCTCGACATATTGTTTGGAATCTTTTAAAATACAGAAAAGCCAATCGGGTGACAGTGTTCAGTACTCATTTCATGGATGAAGCTGACATTCTTGCAGGTGAGATTTTTGCTTTATTTTTGAAGGCTGAGATCATGGGCCAAAAGGAAGATAGACATAGAGATGCTAATTCCCGAGGTATAAATAGAGAAGCTTTTACCTAGAGGTATATTTCCTTCACAAAAAAAGTTTAAAATTTTTTTAAATTATATATTTTTGTGTTGAGCATCTTCAAGACCATTCCAGGTTTTGTGATGTCCTAGGAGAACTCATAGGACCCAGCACATAGTCATACTCATGGCTATGATTTATTACAGCAAAAGGATGCAAAGCAAAATTAGCAAAGGGAAAAGGTATATAAGGCAAAGTCTAGAGGAAACCAGATGGAAGCTTCCAAGAGTTCTCTCCCAGTAGAGCAGACAGATGTGCTTTAATTTATTCATCATTGAATTGTAACAGCATGTGTGAAATATCTACTTGGGAAAGTTAGTATGTACTCCGTGTTCAAAATTCTTACTGAGTGCTGGTCACATAAGCATCTTCTGCCTAGCACATACCAAAGTTTCAGATTCCCAGAAGTAAAGAAGGTATTCAGCATAAACCACATTGTTTGTACAGTTTAGGCAGTGAGCCACCCTTATTTGTTTTGAGAATAGTAGGAACCCTCCCAAATCCAAGTTCTCACCTAACAGGGCCAACCTTGTAAGCAGGTCTAAGGATAGAAGCCTTTGACCTGCTATGTTAACTCTTTTCTGCACAATTTTATATACTTACATATAAAGAACCAAAGTTAAAGTCAACACATCACTTTTAATAGCTATGACAAGATACAGAAGTTTGAAATTCTAGAGCGACTTCTCTCTGCTTATAATTATAAGCTAATAAAATTGGGCAAGTCATTCATGTCTTTAGTAGTATCTTTGTTTTTACAAATCCAACAAACTAATATTTGTTCTTCTTATTCTGTTGATTTTTGGAGTTATTTCTCCATTTGGTTATAAAAGAAATTGTGAAAGTGCTTGTATTGGTAAGGCTTTTAGGAAAAATCAGATATTTGGAATAATATATGGAAAGTGGACGCTAGAGTCAGACTGCTTGAGTATACTTCCTGGCTTTGTTACTTAATAGCCACATAAAACATATATAAGGAATCTATTTTCTTTTTGCCTTAGTGTTCATAGCTGAAAAATAGTTGATAATTTTTTACATTAAAAAATGTAAAAGTAATTGTGTTTACTTTGTTGTCAAGAAAAAAAGAAATTGCTTGTAGGCCTCCTGAGAATAAGGCATATATGTATGTTTGTATACATTCTCAGGTTCTTTTTTTAGTTTCATCCTCATAAGATTGTTGTGATGATTAATGATATCATAATATGGATGGCTTTAATATGAGAAACTATAAAATATAAATGCCAATTATTGCTGTTGATAACTTAGAAATTGAAATGTAAATATTTATCTGCAGATAGGAAAGCTGTGATATCACAAGGAATGCTGAAATGTGTTGGTTCTTCAATTTTCCTCAAAAGTAAATGGGGGATTGGCTACCGCCTGAGGTATCATTGAATTTTATTGACATTATTCTATATTATACTCTTGATATACTGTTATTATTTTGGAGTCTTGCCATTGTATGCTTTGACCATCTTTGATGGCACTAAATTTAATTTAAAGCCTTTATAATTTACTTTTGGCTGTTTATTGTGTAATCATTAATTATGATTTTTGGTATTCTCTAGCATGTACATAGACAAATTTTGTGCCACAGAATCTCTTTCTTCACTGGTTAAACAACATATACCTGGAGCTACTTTATTACAACAGAATGACCAACAACTCGTGTATAGCTTGCCTTTCAAGGACATGGACAAATTTTCAGGTATTACTTACTTTGTCTCTTAGTGTTTGAATTGGGATCTTATACTGGGAATAGGTTTTATTGATACCCTTTTTGTTTCTGTCTCCATGTAGTATTGCCATGCTCCCAGGTGGCCAGAGTTAATATTCTGTTTCTGCTTTATTTTGTTTTTGAAAACTAGAAAAAATACAGTGATTTTTTGTTGTTGTTACGAACACCATGTAAGAAACGGTAACTAATATATTAAATACTTAAGAAAATGTTTAAAAATGTAAAAGTAATTGTGTTTACTTTGTTGTCAAGAAAAAAAATTGCTTGTAGGCCTCCTGAGAGTAAGGCATATATGTATGTTTGTATACATTCTCAGGTTCTTTTCTAGTTTCATGATTTCATAATGAATTACATGACAAATCCTTGAATCCTTTTAATTGAGGCTTATTTTTTAACTTTTTAATGAGGAACTCAAACTCAGTCTCCTTCCTCTGTTTAGGAATTGCACGATAGCCAAAAGGATGCTATTGATGTAAGTATATTGTGCAGAATTTTCATAGCATTTATCTCATAATCAGAAAAGTTAAAAAAAAAAGAAATCACAAATTAAGTGGACTGAAGTACACTTGCCAACTTAATGTGCTCTGCCTATCATTCTGTCTACTTATACCTACCTACCTCCTATCCTTTAGTAACATTTATATAGTGCTTATTTTCTACCAAATGCTGATCTGTGCATTTTGCAATTATTAGTTTATTTCATTATCCCAATATTTCGTTAAATACATGAGATAAATGCTATTATTGCTTTCATTTTGCAAATGAAGAAACTAAGGCACTTGCCCAAGGTAACACAGGTAGAAAGTGGTGAAGCTGAGTTTTAAACCCAGGTAAATCGATTCCAGAACTCCTGTTTTTCACCACCATATTTTGTTTGTTGTCTTTTGTATTTCTTTGATAAATTGTTATGGTATTTCTCTGGATTTCACAGTGTCTTCTGGGATCTCCTGCGTGATGGACCCTAAGACCTCTTAAAGGAATTCACAATGTCAACACTTTTTCTAATACTAACAAAATGTTATTTGTCTTGTGGACTCTCAGCTTCTCATGATTAGACACTGTTTTCAAGAGACTGTATAATATGTGCTATCACAACAGATTGAATGCAGAAACAAATATGAGAACCCATCAGTCCTCTGTTAAGACAGGCATTAAAGAGATTTGCAGAAATATAAAACAGTATTCTCTTCTCATTATTTTTGTTTTAAAAAATGTAGTTTTTAAAAATTAAATTGTGCTAACCTATAATAGGTTTATTTTTATTTTTGAAAGAATGAATAAGTATTTAAATTTTCTAGTATACATATTTCTGTATATTTTCTAATATACATATTTATTTTAATGTTTAATATAGTAACATTCTCAGTTTTAATTTCAAATACTGTAAAATTTTTGTTAATTTATAATATGATAAATATCTAATAGGTATATTCTCATAAACAAAATTTCTTTGAGCTCCGTAATACTTATAAGAATGTTAAGCCTGTTACTTAGGCACTGTTACAGCTCACTACAGCCTCAAACTCCTAGGCTTAAGTGATCCTCCCACCTCACCTCCTGAGTAGCTAAGACTACAGGCTTGCATCAGTATGCCTAGCTAATTTATTTTTATTTTTTGTAGACATGGGTCATGATATGTTGCATAGGCTATCCGAATGTAACCTATTTTTAAAGGATATTTTACAATAATTTATGATAATATGCTCAAAGATATACTATTCTTTCATTTTTTTTCTTTCAGGTTTGTTTTCTGCCCTAGACAGTCATTCAAATTTGGGTATCATTTCTTATGGTGTTTCCATGACGACTTTGGAAGATGTATTTTTAAAGCTAGAAGTTGAAGCAGAAATTGACCAAGCAGGTAAAAACAGAACTAACAAAACATTTTAGACAATGAACCAGACAGATGGTGAATAAGACAAAAATTATGCAAATTATATAAATTTATATAATTATAAATTATAATTATGCAAATTTATATATAAATTATATAAATGCAAACTTTATATTATTTTTGGGAAGAAAGGGTAGAAATAAATAACTAAATAAGTAATGAGATATTGATAGTGATAGGAGTTATGCAGGAAATAATGGGGTGGTCTTAGAAGGCAGTGAACTTAGATTATATCATCAGGAAGGACTTTGTTGAGATGATACTTGACCTGAAGCCGAATAACAAAAAAATCAAGTAGGTGAAGATTTAGGGCAGAAATTTTAGATAAAGAGAACTGCAACTGCAAAGTTATTAACTGAGGAATGAGTTGGATGTCTTTGAGGGATACAAAAAGGCCACTGTGGCTAGCGCTATGGTGGAGATATTACACAACCAAGTCAGGAGCATACTCAGAGGGCTAGATCATGTTTTGCCTTTGAACACCTGGAAAACAATTTCATTTGTTTTCTGATTGTAATGTGAAGCTATCAGAGAGTTTTAAAGCAAACAGGTAACATGATCTGATTTGAGTTTTTAAAAAGTACATTCTGGTTGTTGAATGATGAGAGGATTATAAAGGAAGTGTGGAGGTAGGAAGACCAGTTAGGAAACTGTTATAATTAATACAACCTTGAACTAAGGTGGTAGTGAAAATAGGGAGGCCAGGTGCAGTGGCTCATGCCTGTAATCCCAGCACTTTGGGAGGCCAAGGCAGGGAGATCACTTGAGCCTAGGAGTTCTAGACCAGCCTTGGCAACATGGCAAAACCTTATCTTTACAAAAAACACAAAAAATTAGCCAGGTGTGGTGATGTGTGCCTGTAGTCCCAGCTACTCTAGAGACTGAGGTGGGAGGATTACCTGAGCCTAGGAGATCAATGGTGCAGCGAGCCATGGTTACACCACTGCACTCTAGCCTGAGCATCAGAAAGAGACCATGTTTCAAAGAGAGAGAGAGAGAGAGAGAGAGAGAGAGAGAGAGAGAGAGAGAGAGAGGAAGGAGGGATAGAGGGAGGGAGGGAGAGAGGGAGAGAGAGAAAGAATATAGAAAGAACAGATTTGAGCTATATTGGTGGTAGTGGTGATGAGTTGCTGATAGATTGTTACTGGTTCAGGACAAGGTAAAATGAAGAATAATTCCTAAGTCCTTGGCTTGAGAAGTGGGAATGAGATTGCCATTTCCTGAAAATAGGGGAAGAATAGGTTTGTGGAAAGAAGCAATGCAGGCATGAATTTTTTTTTTCTTTTTTCTTTTTTTATTGAGATGAAGTCTTGCTCTGTCACCCAGGCTAGAGTGCAGCGGTGCAATATCGGCTCACTGCAACCTCTGCCTCCCAGGTTCAAGGGATTCTCCCTGCCTAAGGCTCCTGAGTAACTGGTATTACAGGTGCCCACCACCACGCCTGGCTAATTTTTTAGTAGAGATAGGTTTCACCATGTTGGTCAGGTTGGTCTTGAACTCCTGACCTCAGGTGATCTGCCTGCTTCAGCCTCCCAAACTGTTAGTGTTACAGGTGTCAGCCACCACGCCTGGCCCAGGCATGAATTTTGACTTTATTGTTTGAGATCCTTCTGGAGCTAAATGAACATGTTAGAGCCGAAGATACAGATTTAGAATTTACTCATAGTTAGTTGGTGCTATGGAGTTGGATGAAATCTCTTAGTTCGGTAGGGAGTAGAGATAAGAATTGAGGGTCAAGCCCTCTGGGTAAGCAGTGGAGGAGGAGCCAAAAAAAAACTGACCATGAATAAGCAATTATTACTCTACTTTTCATGAAAGAGTGGAAATGCAGAATCCTAGAAAAATTATGTTTTAGTGAAGAGGAAGTGGTGAGTTATTTGTCCATTGCTGTGAAGAATAAGATGAGGACCAAAAAGGTAGTTTTGGTAATGTAGAAGACAGTGAGGAATTTGGTAGAGTGTAAGAGTGGTGATCTTGACAGATCAATTTCATGAGGCAATGGAGCAAAGTTGATCTGTGTAGTTATGGTGAGAACATGAGTTGAGGAAACTTTCTTATGATCAAAGGTTAGCAAAATGTTTGTGGTGGTAGGTGAGGATAGCAAAGGAAACCAGAATGTTAGTTCACAGTTGTTAAAAGAGTTGAGATGCTGCAAATACACATTTTGCATGAATGCTGAGTGGCTGATGATTAAAATCATTGTGAGACCAAAATCAAGAATCAAGCTGAATATATCATCATGAAGTAAGTTTGCATTATATTATGCTAAACTGAATCTGGAAATTAAAATAAATTAATAGAATTTAATTATTCGTAGTTTGGTAGTCAAATTTTAAAAGATTGGCTATATTGTGTGGGAACAATAATTTGTTAACATTGCTAACTGTAAAGTTGCTCCTGTAGTCCTACGTTTATGATACCAGATGCTCACTTTCAACTGCAGTGAGGAGAAGCCATGTATTTTTGAGTTCTTAATTTTACTTTTGTTATAATGTCTGGATCAAAGAAGATTTATCTGAAAATTAATGTATGTGATTTTGTAGTTTCTCCTTCTTTTGAAATTTTTAAATGATGGAAGTTGGCATTCCACTTTTAGTTCGCCCTCACAAATTGTGGAAGAATCCAAAATAAAACTTTTTTATTGAAAGTGTTATGGCCTTAATGGAATTCAGTAACTAAAAAAGAAGTAGGTCTCCCAAATTTGTTTTAATACCATCAGTATTAGTATACTGAACAACTATATAAAAATTAATATTATATAGTCTTATTTTTTTTAATGTTATTATCTAAATTAAAAATATATATATTGGCCCAAAAGTTATAATGCTCTTCCTAAAGTCATCTAACTAGTACATTCTCTTTAATATTTTCATTAACTGTCAGTGTCTTTCTGCATCTACAATTCTGAATGTCTGTTTTTGAGTTTAAAATAAACCTCACTTGTGTAGTATTTTATTCTTGCCATTAAATAAATATATGTTTATGGTTTAATTGGTAGAATTTTATGAAGTACGTAAATACATTTTTATTCCAAATGCATTTGGAATGTTTAACTGTGATCATAATGAATATTAAATATTAAAATGAAATCTGAATGACTTACCTTATTCATTCAGGTATACCTCTTTTGTTATACCTCTTAAGTATTGGGCTAACAATATGATCACACTGTCATTGATCATGTACAACCTCAGTAATGCCAGGAATTTATACTCAAATAGGCGTTTGGCTCTTAATACTTCCGAAGATTAAAGATGAAGCTGAAGAGCAGAATTTGGCTGAAAACTGAACCTGAGACTAAGTTTTAATTGAGAAGTAATGTAAAGCCAGGAGAGGACTTTGAAACATGGAGATAAGAAAGAAGTCTAGTGTATGTCAGGACTTGATGTTAGGTTATAGTCAGAGAGGAAAAGTTCACATAAAAAGTTGGGTATTGTACATATACAGAGATAATAAGATCTTAAATATGGACATGCATCCAGTTTGTTTTTGAACTAGTGGAATTATACCATGTGTCTCTTTTGCATTTGTCCTCTATTACTCAATATTATATTTACTGAATATTATATTTGTACTCTTTTACTCAATAATATGTTTACTCAATATTATGTTATGTTGTTATGGGTACAGTAGATTGTTTACTTCCATTAGTTTAAACTATTCTGTTATATTCCTATGTCACAATTATTCATTCATTTACCTGTCAAGAGAAATTTGGGTTCATTCCAGGGTATGGGTATTCCAGATAGGGCTGTACTAAGAATATTTTTGTACATGTGTTTTGGAGAAACCTCTATTTATATCTCTGTTGGGTTCATACCTATTGGGAATCTCTTGAGTCATAAGATATGCGTATGTTCAGCTTTAATAGATACTGCCAGAATATACAAAAGTTCTATTTGTTCCACATAACTGCCAGACCTATGCTTCTTTAAATTTTCCTGCTTCAGAAAGAGTTTATTTTTTTAAATGAATATACTTAAATGTTTGTTTTGTTTTGGGAAATAGATTATAGTGTATTTACTCAGCAGCCACTGGAGGAAGAAATGGATTCAAAATCTTTTGATGAAATGGAACAGAGCTTACTTATTCTTTCTGAAACCAAGGCTTCTCTAGTGAGCACCATGAGCCTTTGGAAACAACAGATGTATACAATAGCAAAGTTTCATTTCTTTACCTTGAAACGTGAAAGTAAATCAGTGAGATCAGTGTAAGTATAATTATCACTTATACCTGATGAATTGTTTTTTAAGGATGCAAATTGGATTTACCATCTTAATTTTTAAAATGTTAACATATGTAAATAATTTATGTAGTTTTAAAAGATTACCACTATAATTTCACAGTGTTAGAGAAAAAAAATAACAATCATTTCATCAAATATCCTGTCTTACACTTTACAAACTAGCATTTATTGTCTCATCTATAAAGTGAGGAAATAACAAATATTCCCTAATTGTATAATTTTTGAATTACTGTCATTGTATCTTTTTCTTTCTTTCACCTGGGAGCATAGATTCAAGTTTCCCTGAATATATTAATATACTCCCTATTGTATCTTAAATTTTATTTTGCATTTCTATTTTTTCACTATTTTTGCATCAACTAGTTAGTTTTTATAACTACTTTTTGTAAATAGCAGGAAAAATGAGTTTCATCTCTATTTATCATATGAAGAAACTGAAAAATAAAGAAGGCTATGTAGCTAGTAGATTTAGGATCAAAATGACATCTTTGACATCTTTTCAAGTTAGCTTTAGCCTTTCTCAGTTAGGTTCTCCTAGGGTACTAGGCACTAAATTATTTGGAAATAACATTAACCACTTTCATATACCACACACCTATCTTGTTAGGTCCAAAATGAGAGTAGTAATAAGGCTTAATAAGAAAAAGAATATTGTTATATATTTTAAATATGCTAAATTTATATGCTCTTCTTTGACCAAATTTATTGTCAAACAAATGTCACATATCTGATTTATTCTTGTGTTGACGTTACTGAAAGAAGAATGTTTATTTAAATCAGCATATTTCAGTTTATTTAATTGAATACTACTCTCATAAAATAGTCTCTGAAAAATAATTAAAATACCTTATTCAGCTTTGACTGCCATAACAAAATACTGTTTACTTGGTGGTTTAAACAAAATAAATTTATTTTCTCACAATTCTGATGGCTGAAGTTATGAGATGAGAGTGCCAGCATGATAAGGGCTTTCTTCCTGGCTTGCACCGTCTCGCTGTGCACTCACACAACCTCTTTGTGTACACTGGCATGCATTCTCTGGTGTCTCTTTTTATAAATGTACTAATTCCATCATGAGGACCCCACCCTCATGACCCCATCTGAGGCAGATTGCTTTTCAGAAGTCCTATTTCCAAACATCATCATACCAGAGTTAGGACTTCAACATATAAATATGAGGAGGCACAAACATTCAATTCATGACAAAATGTGTTCTATGGTCAAATACATTTAGGAAATATTCCTATTCTATTCCCTATATTAAAGAGTTATTCATTAGCATAGAAAAACACATGAGATATTCTGTGGTAAAGAAATTCCTTCAACTTTGTTTAACCTCATGTTTCCAAGTATTACGTAGTCATGAATATCTTTTAAATCACTTCTTAACTTATTATGAAATTGGATCAATGCCATATGCTTGTGAAATGTTATCTTAGATATACTTACAACAATTTAAGAAATATTTTTAAAAAATTATGGGGTATGTGAAAATTATAAATTACTCAGTAAAGCATGATGATCTAAGCTCTCCAACCACTTGTTAGGACACTTATTGCATGTAATATAGAGCTATTTTAGCAGATAAGTAGCTACCCTCCTGATACAAGGGCATTGTAGTATACCTTGCTTTGCCTCCTGGGAGCAGCAGTGGTAATGAATATGATAAAATTGTGATTAGGATGAAATTTCAAAGATACCAGTCATTCAAAGATTGATTATATTTTTATTTGCTTCTCTGTATCTAAAATATTTTTGTTGTTACATGTAAAGTAAATGGGAATGGGCACAGTGGCTCACGCCTATAATCCCAGCACCTTTGGAAGGCTACGGCAGGTGGATCACTTGAGGCCAGGAGTTTGAGACCAGCCTGGCCAACATGGCGAAACCCTGTCTCTACTAAAAACACAAAAATTAGCTGGATGCAGTGGCACATGCCTGTAGTCCCACCTACTTGGGAGGCTGAGGCATGACAATTGCTTGAACCTGGGAGGCAGAGGTTGCAGTGAGCTGAGATCACACCACTACACTCCAGCCTGGGTAACAGAGCAAGACTCTGTCTCAAAAAAATAAAAAATAAATGGTTAAGATAGAGACAGGACAGGAAGTAATTCCTTCAGGAGTAGAGACAAATACTTGACACATAATGTCTTGTGCTTTAACAGTTATAACTACATGTTTACATAGTCTATGAAAATTTAAGGGTGTCACTGATCAAAAATATACTTTTATAACTTTTAATTTTGTCACATAGTATTGGCTTTCTCTCCAATATTGTCGTAAGATCATTTTGGGGAATAGAATTTCTTTTTTTTTTTTTCCAGTTTTTTCTTTTTTTTTTTCAATGATTGTCGTTTAACTATCTGGAGTTTAAATCTATACCAATGTAGGCTGGGTGAGGTGGCTCACACTCAGTGCTTTGGGAGGCTGAGGTGGGCAAGATCCTTGTTTGAGCGCAGGAGTTCAAGACCAACCTTGGCAACATGGTGAAACCCTATCTCTACAAAAAAATATCAAAAATTAGTTGTGTGTAGTGATGTGTGCCTGTAGTCCCAGCTATTCAGGAGGCTGAGGTGAGAAGATCTCTTGAGCTGGGGAGGCAGAGGTTACAGTGAGCTGAGATCACACCACTACATTCCAGCCTGGATGACAGAGCCAGACCCTGTCTCAAAAAAAAAAAAATTCTTGCTCATAGGCGGGTGTTGAACAATGAGAATACATGGGCACAGGGAGGGGAGCATCACACAGTGGGGTCTGTTGGGGGGACTAAAGGAGGGACAGTGGGGGGTAGGGAGGTTGGGGAGGGATAACATGGGGTGAAATGCCAGATATAGGTGACAGGGGAATGGAGGCAGCGAACCATATTGACATGTGTGTACCTATGCAACAATCCTGCATGATCTGCACATGTACCCCAGAACCTAAAGTACAATATATATATATATATATATATATTTATATTATAACTAAATATATATAGTTATAATATAAAATATAACTATAAAAATATTTTTTATATATATATGAAAATCCATCTCGATGTGAAGAGAGAGTTTTAATGATTTTTATATTAATGTACCTTTGTATACTAAACTGTGTTTTGTTTTATTTTTTCCTTTTCAGGTTGCTTCTGCTTTTAATATTTTTTGCAGTTCAGATTTTTATGTTTTTGGTGCATCACTCTTTTAAAAATGCTGTGGTTCCCATAAAACTTGTTCCAGACTTATATTTCCTAAAACCTGGAGACAAACCTCATAAATACAAAACAAGTCTGCTTCTTCAAAATTCTACTGGTGAGAGTGTGTGAAGGTCTGTGAATGAGTGTTGGGCATGGAGCATGGGGTTGAGGGGTGGATAAAGGTCTGGATTTTATAAATATATTTAAGGTACAGGCATGATCTGTTTGCATGAAATCTAAATTTAGTGCAATACATATCTTTGATGCTGAAGAATATTTTACAGTAAATTTTGGTTTACAAATAAATGACAGTTTTGGTTGGGCACAATGGCTCACACCTGTAATTCCTGCATTTTGGGAGGCCAAGGCAGGTGGATTGGATTACCTGAGGTCAGGAGTTGAAGACTAGCCTGTGCAAGAAACCCCATCTCTACTAGAAATACAAAAATTAGCCATGCATGGTGGCATGTGCCTGTAGTCCCAGCTACTTGGGAGGCTGAGGCAGGAGAATCGCTTGAACCTGGGAGATGGAGGTTGCAGTGAGACAAGATTGTGCCACTGCATTCCAGCCTGATCAACAGAGGGAGATTCCACCTCAAAAATAAATAAATAAACAAATAGTCTTTTAAAAATACTCTAATTTATACTGTGTATAATAGTAAATTTTCCTTTTTTAGTAATTATGTTATTCTTATCAGCATGTTTTGTCTCAAAGCTCATAATGAGCAAAATATACTTCAAAAGTTGAAAAACCCTTTTTACAAAGAGTTAATAGTACATAATATTTATAAAGATATGTGTCTACATAGAAGTGTTTAAATAATTCTTCAAGAACAGTCTGAAGAATTAGTTAAATTAGTTAAAATGAAGAAAATAAGACTTAAATATAAATATCTCTAATTGAATACATTAGATTCGTAATGGATATTTTTGGCTTTGCTATCTTACTACATAATTGTCAAATATGAAAAAAAATAGACATATAAGCTTGAGCAAAGCTCAAAACAAAAAAACTGACAGTGTTCTGATTTTCAAAATATTAAAACTTAATGCAAAACTTATTCATATATGATCAGTTGTTCCTATAACATCTGTGACGAACTCTTTGGGGTTTAACCTTTCTATCACTTCACGTACATTCTAGTATTATTCCTTTTTGATTCACTGATTCAAAAAGGATTCTGCCTGTTATTAAAATAACAAGCATGACTAGGAATGATAACAAATTACTATTAAAATCATCACTGTTAAAATCTGGTGCTTGTTATATTAGATAACCTTCATTCTTTTTGGTAAAGATGCATTTATTAATGGAAAATTACTCGAATAGAAAATATTAGGTTTTGCAGTTTTTTTCTTCCATTAGGAATTCTCATTTCCTTTTTAAAATACATTTTATGTTGCTAAAATATACTGCATGAAACCTTAAATTGTGACATTTTTTATGTGTGTCCAGGGAACTGTACATGTATCTCAAATCTTTCTTTCTTTTTTTTTTTTTTAAAGACCTTGGCTTCAAATAAAATCTTTTTGCTTTGAGTTCATTCTCATTGATTTGCAGAAATTCTAGTATTTTCAGTTCACCTCTTTCATTATGTTTTATTATTCTTAGAGTTGCTTGCTTATGCATGCCATGTTTTCCTAAGCCTTGCGTCTGTTCCAAAATAAAACCACTTTTTTTTTAAACCACTGGCTTCTGTGTGTATATATATATTGGGTGCTATCTTATCCACCTTGCAGAGCTTTTTGTATCTCTTGTGCTGTGGTTCTTTCACTTATAATGTCTCTCTCTTCTCAGGGTACCTACCTGTTCTTGCCAGTTAGAGATAAGAGATCTGTTAAGGTACTAGGTTGGAAGTAAAGTAGTGTAACTATTCTCTATGACACTCAGATTTGGTGCTGTGTCTGATTTACCCTGCCATACTATTTAGATACTAGTTATATTTTGCTTCATTTGATTTAAATTTCTCTCAAAGTCACATTTGTCCTTCCCTGAATCCAGTTTTTGTTATAATAGAGGAGAAACTGCTTCTATTCAGTAGACATGTTGGTATACATTTAAATCCCAGACAGGATTTAAAATCTTATACTTGGCTCCAGGTACTTTAGAGAATGTAGATAGAGACCTGATTATGTTTTAGAATTTTTTAAGGTAATTAAGGCAACTGATATGTCTGCCCAGAGCATACAAAATTCTTCTAGGGAGTGATGTTACCACACCTTAGCCTATATCGTTCTGAGCTTAGCAAGTTATCTTGTTACCTAAAATTGTTAGTTTTTTTCTTATTATTTAAGCAAATTTCATGTATTATAGGTTAACTTTTCAGTGTTAATAATAGTTGCAGCGGTAACAGCAGTGGCAGCTAAAATGTGCAGTTACTATGTGTCAGGTTCTAAACCCTGTGTGTATGTTCAGTGTAATTCTCATGATCACTCTATGAAGCAGGTATGCTTATTTTACCCACTTTACAAAACAGGAAACGTAAGGTCCAGAGCATCTAGGTAACTTGCTTGAAGGACAGATAGTTTAAATGGCACCTTTAAAACTATTTAAAACGTTTTAAAACCAGGCTGACTGGCTCCAGAGCCAATGTACTTACTTGCATATTTACTAATGAAAATAAAATATTTCTCTAAAAATAGAATGGTCTTCCCAATGTTACTAAAAACCTTGTTTAAACTCATTCTTTATTATTTGCTTATTTTCTAACACCAGACTCAGATATCAGTGAACTTATTAGCTTTTTTACAAGCCAGAACATAATGGTGACGATGTTTAATGACAGTGACTATGTATCTGTGGCTCCTCATAGTGCAGCTCTAAATGTGATGCGTTCAGAAAAGGTAAGATAAATGCGGTGAATGAATATCCATTTGGGAGTTATACAAGATTAAAACATTTCTTCTAAAATTAATTATTTGCTGATTTGCCTTTATGAGTTAGAAATTAGATTTTACTTTTGGAAGTAATTAGCTGTCTTTATTTATGATTTATTTCATTCCCTCACAAATGACCAATAAATAAAGTTATGGGAATTTAGTTTTTAAAAAATATGATATGATTGCTTAAAATATTAAAATATCTGTACATTCCAAACCAGATTGTCTTAATCTATCATTGGGTATTATTTCTGTGAGTTGTTAAAGCAGTTTTTCAGCATGAGCATTAGCTTTGTAGGTGAAAAAAGCTTGGTACATAGCAATAATATATCCACTTATATTTGTATACAGTATGTAATAAGTGTCTTTTTTTTAATTGTAGGACTATATTTTTGCAGCTGTTTTCAACAGTACTATGGTTTATTCTTTACCTATATTAGTGAATATCATTAGTAACTACTATCTTTATCATTTAAATATGACTGAAACCATCCAGATCTGGAGTACCCCATTTTTTCAAGTAAGCCAATGTATATACAGATAAATTTTCATATGCATATATCATATATATAATATTAAAATTCAAGCAAAATAACAAAATATGTAGAAATTTATCTTGTGAGATCTCTTAGTCTTCTTAAAACTCAAGTGAGAAATGGTTTCTATTAAAGTTTATGATTTCCCAGTATAAGTATGTTTAAGGGCAAAGGACATTCTGTTTTGGTATTGATATTTTTATAATGCATAAGTGTGTTCAGTATTGATCATAGAATAAAATAGATGATAATTTGTAGATGAATATTTTTGTATATGAAATCCAGATATTAGGGTATTGAAAAAACTGAGAAGTCACCCAGACAACCATTTTTTCTCTAGATAGAACTATTGGATTGTACGTATCAGAATCAAGACTACAGAAAAGTATTCAATATTTTTTTCTTAATCCTTTGGATTTTCATATGCTAAAAAATAAACGGACAAGTATCTGTAACAATATTTTCTATTTTCTTTTGTCATACTTTTAAAACAACTTCATTGAAATAGAATGCCCAATCTACCTGACCATTATTTAAAGTATGCACTTTGGTGTTTTTTACTGTGCTCATTCAGTTGTGCAGTCATCACTAGAGTCAGTTTCAGATACATACCATCACCCCCCTGAAACCCCTATACCCATTAGTAGTCACTCTTTTCCTCCCATACCTACCCCCAACCTTAGGCAACCACTAATGTGTATCTATGGATTTCCTTATTTTAGACATTTTGTATAAATGGAATCATACAATATGTACTCTGTTTTGTCTGCTTTCTTGTTCTTAGTATACTGGTTTGAAGATTCATCCATGTTGTAACATGTATCAGTACTTCATTTATTTTTACTACTGAATGATATTTCATTGTGTGGAACATATGAAATGTTTATGTGAAATACCACATTCTATTTATCCATTCATCAGTTGATGGCATTTGCATTGCTTTCACCTTTTGGCCATTATGAATAAAGCCATGAATATTTTGAGTACAAGATTTTGTATGAGCGTATGTTTTTTTCTTGGATGTATAGCTAGCAGTGGAATTGCTAGATCATCTAGTAACTCTGTTTAACATTTTAAAGATATTTTCTTATCTCAAATATCCTTATTACAGTACAGCATTTTTCACACTGTATTTATGAAAAATAGAGACAAACTGCTCTCCAAAATGGTTGCATCATTTTCCATTTCTAGCAGCAGTGTGTGTGGAGAGGCATCTCATTTTCATTTTGATTTGCATTTCCTTAGTGGCTGGTGATGCTGAGAACCTTTTTAGGTGCTTATATCTTTGTCTATTCAAGTCCTTTTCCCATTTAAAAATTTTATTATTTGTCTATCTGATTAGATTTATAGAAGTTTTTTAATATTTTCTAGATACAGCTCCTTTATTAGACAAATGATTTGCAGATGTTTTTTTCCCAACCTGGGGTGCCTCTTCACTTTCTTGATAATGTCCTTTGAAGTACAAGTATTAATTTTGAGGAAACTTAATTTATCTATGTTTTTTCTTTTATTTCATCTGCTTTTGGTGTCATTAAAAAATCTTTGTCTAACCCAAGGTAAAAAAGGCTTACTGCTCTATTTTTGTCTCAGAGTTATAGTTTTAGCACTTATATTTAGGACTATGATCCATTGCAGTTAATTTTTGTGTTTGATATAAGGAGGGATTCTAACTTTCTTGTTTTACACATGGATATCCAGTTGTCCAAGCATGTCTTACACTCTAAAAATGTTTTTGTGTGTATGTAGTCATAATTCTTTTCTTCAAACTAAACTACTGATTAAACATATCAATTCCTATGAAATTTGTTTACCCAAACTTATATTTTTCCTTTACATGTTTCTTCTATCATGTTGAGTCTTTGACTCATTCTGCCAAGCCCTTTATAAATTACTGTTTTTTTTTCTCCAGAGTGTTTCTTTTTGAGATGGAGTTTTGCTTTATCACCCAGACTGGAGTGTGGTGGCATGATCTCGGCTCACTCCAGTCTCCGCCTCCTGGGCTCAAGCAGTTCTCCTGCTTAGCCTTCCAAGTAGCTGGGACTACAGGCACATGCCACCATACCCAACTAATTTTTTTTGTGGGGGGGGGGGCAGAGTTTCGCTCTTGTTACCAGGCTGGAGTGCAGTGGCGTGATCTCAGCTCACGGCAACCTCCGCCTCCTGGGTTCAGGCAATTCTCCTGCCTTAGCCTCCTGAGTAGCTGGGATTACAGGCACGTGCCACCGTGCCCAGCTAATTTTTTGTATTTTTAGTAGAGACGGGGTTTCACCATGTTGACCAGGATGGTCTCGATCTCTTGACCTCGTGATCCATCTGCCTCGGCCTCCCAAAGTGCTGGGATTACAGGCGTGAGCCACCACACCTGGCCAGACTATTTAAAATAATAGTTTTATTCCTCTTTTTATCTTTATGTTTTAAAAATCCATGTTATTATATTATATTGTTATAATATTATACCATTATATTGTTCACTATAATTCTCATTTTCTTAATCTGCTGTTTTTAAATGTACTTTGCTACTATATGTTGAAAGACGATGCATCATATCATTTTCAATAATCCTTGACCACTTCTCTTAATATTAATTAATTGATTAATTAATTCAGACACACTGTACTTATTGAGTGCTTATGGTAGCTAGGCACCTTGCTAATATTTGGGTTATATCAGTGAAAAAGGAACTAAGAAGCTTACTGAATAGTGGAGAAAACAGAAAAATAAGCAAGTGATGATATTATAGTGTGAAAAATGCTGTACTGTAATAAGGATATTTGAGATAAGAAAAACTAATGTGTTTTTTCTACTCTCACACTCCACTCAACACAGCACTTCTGACACTAGACATGTGAGGGTCTTTCCCCACATGCCAAGCAATTCTCCCGTAGACACCAGCTGTGTGTCCTATAGTTTAATTCAATTCTGACACTGTCTACTTGGTGATAGTATCAGATCCCACAGGTTAAGGGCTCAGTCAGATTCCAATCCTAATCCTCAGTTTGTGATCTGTGTTTCTTACTAACCTGCTATAAATTGGGAGCTGTCGTGATGTCCTCCTCAGGTTTGATTAGTTGACTAGAATGGCTCACAGAACTCACAGAATAATTTACTTATGTTTATTGGTTTATTAATAAAGATTATGATAAAGGGTACAGATGAGCAATGAGGTGAAGTGATATACATGGCAAGGTCTAGAAGGGTCCTAAGCACAAGAGCTTCTATTCCCATGGAGTTGAATTGCTCCACCTTCCTGCTATGCAGATGAAGTTGGGTTGTAGGAGAGGAAAGAAGTTCAATAAATCAGATTAGAGGTTCTTTTTAAATAAATAATCCATATGAGAAGGGCTGATGGGTGTCTGAGTTAATGCAGCAACAGTAGCATTCATGATAGAGGGATATTAAAAAATAAATGGCATGACTTGATCACTGTTGCATTTGTGAGATGAAGAAGAGGAAAGATTATAAAATTTTTTGCTTTTAGACGATGTGATGCATGGTATTATCATTGACCAATTTTAAGAATATAGGCAGAAGAGAGATTTTTGTTTTGTTATAATGGAATTGAAGTACTCATTTCAGTTTGAATCTACTGAATTGTTTGTCTTTGTGGCATTTTCCTGATAGACATTTAATAAGTATTTTGTGTATATGAATCTAGAGAGATTTCTGGACAGTAAACAAGTATTTATGAGTCACCAATGCATATTAAGTACTGATATCATCAAAGTTGTAGATCATTTCTCATGATGTCTTTATTATGACATAGTTTAAACCTGCAGAAAATGAACCACCTACTATCCAAATATTTCCAATGTTAACATTGCATAATATTTGTTTTCCATAAAACTTTAAAGATACAGGTGGAAACTCATATTACCCCTCTCCAATCTTGTTTCCTTCTGTCCTCTGTAGAAGTAAACACAATTCACAATTTATAATTCCCATACATGTTTTTATGATGTTGCTACAAAAGTCTGTATACTTAACTATTACACAAGATTTTGCAACTTACAATTTTCATCAGACACCGACATATAATCATACTATATATTGAAAGACATAAATGGGAGTTTTTAGAGCTAACTATTCATAGATATAGTCACATTAATATTTGAGATTTCTTTCTTCATTAGATTCTGTATGATTGGATACAATTGTAGTCTCATTCATTTCCACTTCTTGCACTACTTAGTTTACATATTTATGGGTTCTTTCTGGGCCTTCCACTGTCATATTACCAGAGTTTGGGACAAATTCTGCAATGCCATATGACCTGCACTATGGAATTGACTTTATTGCTAAATAGAAAAACTCAGAAGGTCAGGTTCAACAAGACAGTGACCTACTCTGTCTCCTAGGCAGTGGGTTCTATTCCAGTGCAGAGTACCCTCTCCGTCCCATGGGTACATATTCTTATAGAACAATGTGAGGAAACTGACCTTGGTGAGGGTGGGCAATAATATAGTATCCATGGACCTGAGTAATCTGCATTTCAAGTGCTAGCTGTCTATTGATTGTCTGGGAAAGTTAGCTGACTGCACCTGGATCCCTGGGGAAGCTAGGGACATTGGGGCCTGTGGGAGTTAAATTCTTTTCTGCTTGGGAGAAGTTCTGATTCCCATAGGGAGCTGAGCTTGAATATAGCTTTTCCCAATGGAGAAAATGAGAGTCCCAAGACAAAGAGCAACAAATACCATTCTTAGATAATTATTATCATTGCATAGGACTACTATAGTGGACATACTAATTGCTTTTCAAATATATCATTCATTTTTATTAAATTGTGAAGCTTAATTTATATGCCAGATTATTCTGTGTTGTAGATATGAAAATGAAAGTAAAATGATTTTCTCAGGATCAGATAGTTATTAAGTGGCAGGGCTGGTAATACTGTCCACCGCCACCTGTTAATACATCTGCCACTCATTCTTTCATATTGACTATGCCTGGGTTAGGTATTCTAATATGTTCTTTCTGAGGTTTTGATTTTTTTAAGTATATATTAAGATATAAAATTGTTCTCAGTTCCGTTTGTTATTCTGTGGTTGTCTTTCAGGAAATTACCGACATAGTTTTCAAAATAGAGCTGTATTTTCAAGCAGCTTTGCTTGGAATCATTGTTACTGCAATGCCACCTTACTTTGCCATGGAAAATGCAGAGAATCATAAGGTAATGACTCAGTTAAATATGTATAATTTGCTACCAAGAAATATCATATAAAAATAAAATATTTGCATAATTGCAAGCCGTAGTGTAATTATTATTTTATAAAAAAGTAAATGGAGTATAAATACATTTATTATAATTTCTTATTGTAGTAACAGTGATAACTAATATTTATTACTTGAGACTTGCTATATGCTTTAAAAATTATATTCTCTAATTCTCACAACATTGTGAGGAAAGTTTTTTTTGTTATCAATTGCTTATAGATCAGGTTATCAAAGATGGGATTGTTAATATGACTTGCTTGTGTTGACTCAACTTGTTTAAGTTGTGGATTTGGGAACTGACTATGGTCTTCATGTTCTTAACTGGCATGTTAATGTGCCTGTGCCCTTTATCCTTTAACAGAGGTAGTCAAGGCACTTAATTCTCATTAACTGAAAAAAAAAAAAGGTGAAAGTGGTTGTCATCATTAGGGCCTTGGAGAAATTGCTAAGTATACAGAAGTTCTTTGATTTTCTTTTACTTTCTTTTTATGCCTTTCCCTTTTGTTTTCCTTCAGGCATATAGTGATCTTGTACAGTCTTTGGCTGTTCAAAGCCTTCTACTCTCTCACACTGCTGAGATTATATCTTACTTCTCTAATAAAAATTCTTATCTTCTTCACGTATGATCTTCATTTAGTAAAAACAAATTTGTCTAGAATGATTTACAGACTGATGAATAATGAACTCATTATTTTAATGAATTCTAAACAAATATTTTGTATTTGTTTAGTATAAAAGTAACGCCTCCATTTTAAAAATAATATTTCATTTTTGTTATAAATATACTCATTGTAGTAATTTAGAAATTATAGAAAAGTGGAAGGAATATAGAAATCTGTAACCTGCATAATAATAAAATTTACTGGACATTTGCATTTTTCTTTTTTTTGTTTCAACTGAAATATTTTTAATTAAACTTTTATTTTGAGATAGTTATATATTCATATTTGTTGGTAATGACAGAGACATTCTGTATACTCTTTACATTTTATCCCAAATATTACTGGAATAACATCTTATAAAATTATAGTACAATATAACAGGATATTGGCATTGATACAGTACATTTCTGTCACCAGAAAGATTCCCATTTTTTGCCTTTAACCTCTCTGAACTGTGGCAACCACTAATCTATTCTCTATTTCTGTAATTTTGATAGTTCAAAAATGTAAAATGGTGTCACAGTAAGTTTTCTTTGGGGATTAGCTTTTGTCAACTAGCATTTTTTTTAAATTTATCCAATTTAGATGTATCAATAGTCCATTCCTTTTTACTGCTGAGTACTATTCCATGGTATGGATACATCATCACACTTTCTCTAACCATTTGCCTGTTGAAGAACATTTGGATTATTTTCTGTTTTTGGCTATTGTGAATAAAGTTGCTGTGGACATTTGTATACAGGTTTTGTGCAAACCTAAGTTTTCATTTCTCTGGGATAAATGCCCAAGAGTGCAATTGCTGAATCATACGTGTTTAGTTTTATAAGAAATTGCCAAATTATTTTCCAAGATGGGTATTCCATTTTATATTATCCCTACCAGCAATATATGAATGATGAAAGTTTGAATTATTCAAAAATACTTGCATTTGCCTTGGCTTATGTTTTTATCCTTGTGTTAGAATTTACATGTGTCTCATGTTCTCATCATTCATTAAACATAAAACTTGCCAATTTTGTTCACTTCTCCTCTTAACTAATCTTTATATTTCATGCTTTATCTCACTCTGTGGACAGCTCTTTTATATAATACCTTTAGTTATTAGGATTAAATACTTTTATAGATGACAAAAATCAACTACATAAGATTGTTAGGTATTTAGGTTTGTGCAATATTCTAGAAATTTCAGATTAAATGAGAACATGAGATACGAAAGCAGTGATCATTTAAGTTTACCATTAACAAACCTGTGATGTAAATAACACCTTAGATTTTTGTACTATGCCAATGTACATAAAAGGCTTTCAAAGTTTCAAAAGCTTTCACTTAAGCTGAAAGCCTTATGTAAATCCAAAGGATATTTTGGCAATTTATTAGTGTTTTAATGAAAGGTTTATTTTTAAAAATGAGAATTCTTTTCCTATGTAAACATATTTTCTTATCTATTTCCAAAGTATTTCAAAAGCAGTAATGTTTTGGCTATTTATTATTTGTATAGCTGTAATCCCAACCCCATGACACCTTTTGCCTTATTTTAATTTCTGTTTCTTAGCAGCACTACTGTATTCTGATTCTTAAAAATTTAGTCGAAATTGTTACATCTCAGAAATAATGAGTCAAATTAAAGGCTCAATGGAATTTATATTTAGTGTGAGGGGAACTTTGATTATCTACAACCCTGAAATGTGACATTTTTGGTTTTATTGATGTAAAATTAAGAGATCTACAATAATTTACTAATTTATTTGTGTGTTTATAAAGTGTCTAAAATTATAATAATTTTTTATTTTTTTTAGATCAAAGCTTATACTCAACTTAAACTTTCTGGTCTTTTGCCATCTGCATATTGGATTGGACAAGCTGTTGTTGATATCCCCTTATTTTTTATCATTCTTACTTTGATGCTAGGAAGCTTATTGGCATTTCATTATGGATTATATTTTTATACTGTAAAGTTCCTTGCTGTGGTAAGTTAACACTAGTTGTACTCATGCTATTTATAGATAGAATGTTATTTTAAAAACTATAAATATGGCAATTGACTTGTTGAATAATTGGTTATTAATTTTTTAAAGGACTTTATTATGAAAATGTCAAGACTTACATGAAGAGATTTTTTTGCTTGAGTAGATGATGATGATTATTATTATTATTTTATTTTTTGAGATGGAGTTTTGCTCTGTTGTCCAGGCTGGAGTGCAGTGGCGCAATCTTGGCTTACTGTAACATCCACCTCCTGGGTTCAAGCAATTCTCCTGCCTCAGCCTCTCGAGTAGCTGGGACTACAGGACGCGCCATCATGCCCCACTAATTTTTGTCTTTTTAGTGGAGACGGGGTTTTACCATGTTGGCCAGGCTGGTCTTGAGCTCCTGACCTCAAGTGGTCCACCTTCCTCGGCCTCCCAAAGTGCTGAGATTAGAGGCGTGAGCCACCATGCCCAGCCTTGAGTAGATTATTGATAATACTTTAGTGTTTAGTGTTTAGAATGGCTGTTTTTCCTGAATTCCTTTTTTAAATTATTATTATTATACTTTAAGTTCTGGGATACATGTGAAGAACATGCAGGTTTGTTATTACATAGGTATATATGTGCCGTGGTGGTCTGCTGCACCCATCAACTCATCATGTACATTTGATATTTCGCCTAATGGTATCCCTCCCCTAAACCACCCCCTGACAGGCCCTGGTATGATGTTCCCCTCCCTGTGTCCTTGTGATCTTATTGTTGAACTCCCACTTATGAGTGAGAACATGCAGTGTTGGGTTTTCTGCTCCTGTGTTAGTTTGCTGAGAATGATTTCTAGCTTCATCCATGTCCCTGCAAAAGACATGACATGAACTCATTTTTTTGTATAAGTGCATAGAATCCCATGGTGTATATGTGCCACATTTTTTTTTATCCAGTCTATCGTTTTGGGCATTTAGGTTAGTTCCAAATCTTTGCTATTGGGAATAGTGCTGCAATAAACACACATGTGCATGTGTCTTTATAGTAGAATGATTTATAATCCTTTGGGAATATACCCAGTAATGGGATTGCTGGGTCAAATGGTACTTCTGGTTGTAAATCTTTGAGGAATCGCCACACTGTCTTCCACAAAGGTTGAACTAATTTATACTCCCACCAACAGTTTAAAACGTTTTCCTTTCTCCACATCCTCTCCAGCATCTATTGTTTCCTGACTTTTTAATGATCACCATCCTAACCGGCATGAGATGGTATCTCATTATGGTTTTGATTTGCATTTCTTTAATGACCAGTGATGATGAGCTACATAAATGTTTGTTGGCTACGTAAGATCTACTTTTGAGAAGTGTCTATTAATACCGTTTGCCTACTTTTTGATGGGGTTTTTTTTTCTTGTAAATTTGTTTAAGTTTCTTGTAACTATTCATGCTGACGATAGTGTCTTTTGCTGTGCAGAAGCTCTTTAGTTTAATTACATCCCATTTGTCGATTTTGGCTTTTGGTGTGTTAGTCATGAAGTCCTTGCCCATGCCTATTTCCTGAATGGTATTGTCTAGGTTTTCTTCTAGGGTTTTTATGGTTTTAGGTCTTATGTTTAAGTCTTTAATCTATGTTGAGTTAATTTTTGTAAAAGGTGTAATGAAGAGGTCCAGTTTTATTTTCTGCATATGACTAGCCAGTTTTCCCAATACCATTTATTAAATAAGAAATTCTTTCACCATTGCTTGTTTCTATCAGATTTGTCAAAGATCAGATGGTTGTAGATGTGTGGCATTGTTTCTGAGGCCTCTGTTCTGTTCCATTGGTCTGTATATCTGTTTTGGTACCAGTAACATGCTGTTTTGGTTACTGTAGCCTTGTAGTATAGTTTGAAGTTAGGTAGCATGATGCCTCCAGCCTTGTTTTTGTGTAGGATTGTCTTGGTTATACAGGCTCTTTTTTGATTCTGTATGAAATTAGTTTTGTCTAATTCTGTGAAGAAAGTCAATGGTAGCTTGATGGGGGTAGCATTGCATCTATAATACTTTTGGCAGCATGGCCATTTTCACAACATTGATTCTTCCTGTCCATGAGTATGGAATGTTTTTCCATTTGCTTGTGTCTTATTTCCTTAAGCAGTGGTTTGTAGTTGAAGAGATCTTTTTTTTTTTTTTTAAAGAGATCTTTCACATCCTTTGTAAGTTGTATTTCTAGGTATTTTATTCTCTTTGTAGCAATTGGGAATGGAAGTTCACTCATGATTTGGCTCTCTGTTTGTCTATTATTGGTGTATAGGAATGCTTGGGATTTTTGCATATTGATTTTGTATCCTGAGCCTTTGCTGAAGCTGCTTATCAGCTTAGGGAGATTTTGGGCTGAGACAAGGGGCTTTCTAAATATAGTCATGTCATCTGCAGACAATTTGACTTCTCTTCCTATTTGAATACCCTTTATTTCTTTATATATATGTGTGTGTGTGTGTGTGTGTGTGTGTGTGTGTGTGTGTTATTGCACTTTAGGTTCTGGGGTACATGTGAAGAACATGCAGGATTGTTGCATACATGGCAATGTGGTTTGCTGCCTCCATCCTCATTACCTATATCTGGTATTTCTCCCCATGTTATCCCTCCCCAACTCCCTACCCCCCACAGCCCCTCCCCTAGTCCCCCACAACAGACCTCAGTGTGTGATGCTGCCTTCCATGTGTCCATGTGTTCTCATTGTTCAACACCCACCTATGAGTGAGAACATGCAGTGTTTGATTTTCTGTTCTTATGTCAGTTTGCTGAGAATGATGGTTTCCAAGGAAAAATATTTTTTAAGACAGAATCTCACTCTGTCACCCAGGCTGGAGTGCAGTGGAGTGATCTCGGCCCACAGTAACCTCCAATTCCCAGGTTCTAGCAATTCTCCTGCCTCAGCTTCATCTTCAGAAATAAAGCCACACATCTATAGCCATCTGATATTCAACAAAGTTGACAAAAATAAGCAATGAGAAAGGACACTGTGTTCAATAAATGGTGCTGGGATAGCTGGCTAGCCATATGCAGAAGAATGAAATTGGACTTCCACCTTTCACTGTATATAAAAATTAACTCAAGATGGGTTAAAGATTTAAGGGAAAGACATTAAACTATAAGAATTCTACAAGAAAACCTAGGGAATAACATTCTGGACATTGGGAAAGAATTTACGACTAAATAAGTCCTCAAAAGCAATTGCAATGTAAATAAAAATTGACAAGGGGCATCTAATTAAACTAAAGAGCTTCTGCACCACAAAAGAAACTATCAACAAAGTAAATGGACAACATACTGAATGGGAGAAAATACAAACTATGCATCCAACAGAGGCCTAGTATCCAGAATCTATATGAACTTAAACAATTCAGCAATAAAAAACAAAAACCAAGAACTTCATTAAAAAGTGGGCAAAATATATGAAAAGACACGTCTCAAAAGAAAATATGCAGGTGGACAACAAATGTATGAAAAAATGTTCTACATCACTAATCAACAGAGAACTGCAAATTAAAACCACAGTTTAACATCTCACATCAATTAGAATGACTATTATTAAAGAGTCAAAAACCAACAAATGCTGGCAAGGCTGCAGAGAAAAGGAAATGCTTATATACTCTTGATAGGAATGTTAACTTCAGCAACCATGGAAGGCAGTTTGGAGAGTTCTCAAAAATACTAAAACAGAACTACCTTACAACTCAGAAACTCCATTACTGGTTATATATCCAAAAGAAAATAAATTGTTCTACCAAAAAGACACATGAGCTGGTATGTTTATTGCAGCACTATTCACAATAGCAAAGACAATGAATCAACCTAGGAGCTCATAGCAGGTGATTGAATAAAGAAAGTGTGGTACATACACACCACGGAATACTGTGCAACAACAACAAAAAAATGAAATCATGTCTATTGCAGCAGTACAGATGCAGTTGTAGGCCATTATCCTAAGTGAATTAATAAAGGGACAGAAAACCAACTATTGCATGTTTCCACTTACAAGTGGAAGCTAAATTGGGTAAACATGGACATAAAGATGGCAACAATAGACACCGGGGACTATTAGATGGGGCAAGGAGGAAGGGTAGCAAGGATTGAAAAACTAACTATTGGGTACTATGCCCAGTACTTAGGTATAATCAGTTATACCCCAAACCTCAGCATCATGCAGTATACCCATGTAACAAACCTGCACATGTATACCCTGAATCTAGAGTAAAACTGGAAATTATTTAAAATAAAATAAAATACAGCTTAAAATATCAAAGAAGATACTGATTTGCATCCATGTTAACATGTAAATGACTGACAGTAGGCCCTGTCATTGAATACTTTATTAGGAAAAAGGGAAAACAGAGTTAGGTGAGGTTGATGCTAAAATTAACTTACCAATTTTGTCAGAGATCATAATGACCTTATATATTAGTTTCAGCCGTATAAAATAATAATGTTTTTCTTAAACTTTAAAAAATAAAGTGCTGTACATTAAAATAGTAGCTAATATTTGATTGAGAGAGATAAAATTGTAGCTAGCTATACTTGCTTTTTATAATAAAATAATGAGATGATTTTACTTGGTTTAAAACACTACAAATAGTGTTCAGTTTAAATAATTTATTCAGGATTGTATTAAAAATAATGCTTTAATATGACTAATATTTCATGTCGTGTATTGGAAGCTATTCATATTTTTATAGAAACATATTTCTGATTTACAGGTTTTTTGCCTTATTGGTTATGTTCCATCAGTTATTCTGTTCACTTATATTGCTTCTTTCACCTTTAAGAAAATTTTACATACCAAAGAATTTTGGTCATTTATCTATTCTGTGGTAAGTCACATTTTACATTATTTTAACTTTCCATAGCAGTTTAATTAAAAGTCAAGAATACTTTCCTGAGTATACTAAAAAATGTTACATGTCTTTTGTAAGCACAGAATTTAGTTAGATAATTGGCAGCTTCTTTTTATATGTACATTTGTCTTCTGAATGCTCCTTTCCACGTAGGGACAATATGGAAGACTTTTAGCAACTAGGGTAGCATGGATACCAGCTACAAACAAGTTGCTACGTGCTGACTAAATAACATCTTTAGTTCCATGTTTTACTAGAGGATTGAAAACATAGTTTAATGCTTAGATGCCAATTTGTAAGTCAGTTTGTATGAAACTTCTAAACACTTTGTCACTTGTTTTTTCATTTTTTTTCTTTAGACAGCGTTGGCTTGTATTGCAATCACTGAAATAACTTTCTTTATGGGATACACAATTGCAACTATTCTTCATTATGCTTTTTGTATCATCGTTCCAATCTATCCACTTCTAGGCTGCCTGATTTCTTTCATAAAGGTAATTCTGCTAAGTATTTTAATATGTTAAAAAACATATTGTTTTTAACATGACATTTTAATATGTTAAAAAACATTGGTTTCCTTCCCAATGACCGAGGCAGCTGCCCCGAACAGAGGACCGCAGTAGCCTACTGAGGAGTCTGTGGGGACAGCTCATTGCAGCCCTCCCCAAAAAAGAAAACAAAAACAAAAACGTAAATAAGTACTGTCTGAGGATGATAGTTCTTACTCAGAAAATAGTAAAATGCATCAGGTTAATGGCTAGTACTTGATTTAGATATTATTAATGCAGCATAAATTATTGTGAGATCTTGTCAAACTGTAAATTCTCAAAAGGGCTCTATGCTCATTATAGGTTTTCTGATGCTCAAAATGATATATATAATTAGAATTGTGATGTGGTTTCAGTCAGTGTTTTTAGGAGTTTATCAGTGATTAAATAATGTATTTTACTATGAAGGGATGAGAAAGAATAAAGTAGAAGAGATTTTCTCCAAGAAAAAATAGAGACAAAAACCAGATTTGTTTTATTAAGGCTGGATAATTGAAAAAAAATTTCCATGTGATTAGAAAAAATATTATGAATTATTGATTTAGGTTTGCTAATTAATTCTACTTACTAATCCTGCTACCCCTGCTTCCCTTTTTAGGTCTCAGTTTAATGTTTAATTTAACTAATTCTCAAAAATATTTTGGGACAGAGAAGATTTTAAGTAAAAAATATAACTTACTAATATGAATAGCTAACTTAATAGAAAATACACTTGCTAAACAAAATATATTTTTTATTTTAATCCAACTATTTCTACATATTGCAGCATATACATTTTAAAAACTTTTTGTCTTAGATTTCTTGGAAGAATATACGAAAAAATGAGGACTCCTATAATTCATGGGATAGGCTTTCAGTAGCTGTTATATTGGTAAGAAATAAAAGTATTTTTGTGAGTTAGCATGTTACCTTAAGAATAGTTTGGTCCTATGATTTTGACTAAGTATAATTTTTTATCCGGTTTTATAAAAAAGAAGGTGCGCAAAAAATCAAGTGTGTTAGTCAACACTAGCTAATCTGTATTTAATAGGGAGTACCTTTCATTTACTGAATGTGTCTACTTTAATATACTTAGCCTTTTACATGTTATTAATTCTATTTAGCTACAGTTCTGTCTTCTTAAAATCAAAAACAAAGTTTTTGTGTTTGATTGTATTTTATGAAGCTGACAATAAATGAATGATACAGAGGTAGAAAATATGTGAAGGATTTACTAAAAATAATTCTGTTTTAGTTTGTATAAAATTTATTTTTAATTATCTTTATCATGTCAAGTATAAAAAAGTTGTGATTTTTCTTTTTTTTTTTTGGTGATGGCAAAGAACTTGATATATGTAGTCTTAGTTCTATTGGCAAAGGAAAAGAATAAACAACAAACCTTTTAGTCATGAGCTGCAACATGTTCTTCTTTTAGCCTTACGTGCAGTGTGTACTGTGGATTTTCCTCTTACAATACTATGAGAAAAAATATGGAGGCAGATCAATAAGAAAAGATCCCTTTTTCAGGTCAGTTAATTTTTAATTTTTAAAAAATTTTAAATGATTTTAGTATATTTACAGAATTGTGTAACTGTCACCATAATATAATTTTGAAACATTTCCAGCACTCCAGAAAGAAACTTTGTACTCATTAATAGTCACTTTCCTATTCCTACTCCCATAACCCCCTGTCCTAGGTAACCACAAACCTACTTTCTGTTTCTGTCAGATTTGCCTATTCTGAACATTTTATATAACTGGACAATGGAAATATGCTTTGGAAAATCTTGAGTCTAAAGACCAATGATTCTCTTAAATATCTTATATTTAACTCATAGGTATTTGCTTTTTACCATAGTTTGTTGGTATGTTATTTTAATGTTGGAAAATCATCAGATTTGCCAGAAAACATCTTTTAAAAATTGCTAGGATTTGGGCAATATAATTAGTATCTAACATATGGATTTACACTTACTATAATGTTTGGAATGGCCATCATGTAGTCATGTGTAGCAGTACTTCATTAGCTTTTTTTTTTTTTTTTTGCTGAGTAATGCTACATTGTGTGTGTATACTGTACTTTTTATATATCTTTATCAGTGAGTTGCTTTTACTTTTTGGCTATTATGAACAGTGTTGCCATGAATATTTGTATACAAGTGTTTGTGTGGACATATATGTTCATTTATTTTTGTTGGCTACCTAGAAATGGGATTGCTGAGTCATTTGAGGAATTTCCAGACTGTTTCTAAAGTGGTAGTGCTATTTTACACTCCCCCAGGAAAGTATTAGGGTTCTATTTTCTCCACATCCTTGCCAATGCTTGTTCTTGTTTGTCTTTTTTTTGTTTTTGAGAGAGAGTTTCACTCTTGTTGCCCAGGCTGGAGTGCAATGGCACAATCTCAGCTCACCACAACCTCTGCCTACCAGGCTCAAGTGATCTCCTGCCCCAGCCTCCCAAGTAGCTGGGTTTATAGGCATGTGCTACCATGCCCAGCTAATTTTATATTTTTAATAGAGATGGGGTTTCTCCATGTTGGTCTCAAACTGTCTCAAACTCCCAACCTCAGGTGATCCACCCACCATGATCTCCCAAAGTGCTGGTACTACAGGAGTGAACCACTGTGCCCAGCCTTTGTTTGTCTTTTTAGCATATTCTTCCAAATATATTAGCTAATCTCTATTTTTACTTTTTCTTCTATCCAGCCTTGCTTACATGATCAATCACTTTATTATCATTTCAGCATCCTCAACTTTTGTCTTTTTGAACTGTCTACAAAAAGTTATAATTGTTGGTGAATTGAATTATATGCTGGAAAAAAATAACATAAAAGTGCCATTTGATAGTACTACATATTTATTGCTTGTAAATTTATTCCATATACAAAAGCCAATTTTTAAAAAAAAAAAAACTTATTTTAGATTCAAGGGTAAATGTGCATGTTTGTTAGATGGGTATATTGCATACTAATGGGGATTGGGCTTCTAGTGTAACATTACCCAAAAAGTGAACATTGTACCTATTAGGTAATTTTTCAATCCTCAGCCCTGAACCCTTTTGGAGTCCCCAGTCCTCATGTTTATGTTCATGTGTATCTACTGTTTAGCTTTTCCTTATAAGTGAGAACATGTGGTATTTGATTTTCTGTTTCCCGATTAATTCACTTAGGGTAATGGCCTTCAGCTCCATTCATGCTGCTGTACAGAACATAATTTCCTTCTTTTTTATGGCTGTGTAGTATTCCATGGTGTGTATACACCATATTTTCTTTTCTTTCCTTTTTTTAAATATTTTATTGCATTTTAGGTTTTGGGGTACATGGGAAGAACATGCAGGATTGTTGAATAGGTACATACATGGCAATGTGCTTTGTTGCCTTCCTCCCCATCACCAATATCTGGCATTTCTCCCTATGTTATCCCTCCCCAAATCCCCCCCGCACTGTCCCTCCCCTAGTTACCCCCAACACAGACCTCAGTGTGTGATGCTCCCTTCCCTGTTTTCATGTGTTCTCATTGTTCAACACCCATCTATGAGTGAGAACATGCAGTGTGATTTTTTGTTCTTGTGTCAGTTTGCTGAGAATGATGGTTTCCAGGTTTATCCATGTCCCTATAAAGGACATGAACTCATTGTTTTTTTATGGCTGAATAGTATTCCATGGTGTATATGTGCCACATTTCCCCTGTCCAGTCATCATTGATGGGCATTTGGGTTGGTTCCAGGTCTTTGCTATTGTAAACAGTGCTGCAATAAACATTCGTGTACATGTGTCCTTATAGTAGAACGATTTATAATCCTTTGGCTATATACTGAGTAATGGAATTGCTGAGTCAAATGGAATTTCTATTTCTAGGTCCTTGAGGAATGGTCACACTGTCTTCCACAATGGTTGAACTAATTTACACTCCCACCAACAGTGTAAAAGTGTTTCTATTTCTCCACATCCTCTCCAGCATCTGTTGCCTCCAGATTTTTTAATGATTGCTTCTAACTGGCATGAGATGGTATCTCAATGTAGTTTTAATTTGCATTTCTCTAATGACAAATCAGTGATGAAGAGCATTTTTTCATATCTTTGTTGGCCTCATATGTTCCCCATTGTTTTTTTGTGTCCAGTTTGTCAAAGATCAGATGGTTGTAGATGTGTGGCATTGCCTCCAAGACCTCTGTTCTGTTCCATTGGTCTATATCTCTGTTTTGGTACCAGTACCATGCTGTTTTGATTACTGTAGCCTTGTAGTATAGTTTGAAGTCAGGTAGTGTGAAGGCTCTGCCTTTGTTTTTTTGCTTAGAATTGACTTGGCTATGTGGGCTCTCTTTTGGTTCCATATGAAGTTTAAGATGGTTTTATCCAGATCTTTGAAGAAGGTCATTGGTAGCTTGATGGGGATAGCGTTGAATTTATAAATTACTTTGGGCAGTATGGCCATTTTCATGTATTGATTCTTCCTAACCATGAGCATGGAATGTTTCTCCATCTGTTTGTATCCTCTCTCATTTCATTGAGAAGTGGTTTGTAGTTCTCCTTGAAGAGGTCCTTTACATCCTTTGTTAGTTGTATTCCTAGGTATTTAATTCTCTTTGTAGCAATTGTGAATGGCAGTTCATTCTTGATTTGGCTCTCTTTAAGTCTGTTCTTGGTATATAGGAATGCTTGTGATTTTTGCACATTGATTTTATATCCTGAGACTTTGCTGAAGTTGCTTATCAGTTTCAGGAGATTTTGGGCTGAAATGATGGGGTCTTCTAAATATACAATCATGTCATCTACAAATAGAGACAATTTGACTTCCTCCTTTCCTAATTGAATACCCTTTATTTTTTTTTCTTGCCTGATTTCTCTTGCTAGAACTTCCAATACTATGTTGAATAGGAGTGGTGAGAGAGGGCATCCATGTCTAGTGCCAGATTTCAAAGGGAATGCTTCCAGGTTTTGCCCACTCAGTATGATATTGGCTGTGGGTTTGTCATAATTAGCTTTTATTATTTTAAGATACATTCCATCAATACCTTATTTATTGATAGTTTTTAGCATAAAGGGCTGTTGAATTTTGTCAAAAGGCCTTCTCTGCATCTATTGAGATAATCATGTGATTTTTCTCTTTGGTTCTGTTTATGTGGTGAGTTATGTTTATAGACTTGTGGATGTTGAACCAGCCTTGCATCCCCAGGATTAAGCCTACTTAACTGTGATTGATAAGCTTTTTGATGTGCTGTTGCAATTGGTTTGCCATTATTTTATTGAAGATTTTTGCATCTATGTTCATCATGGATATTGGCCTGAAGTTCTCTTTTCTTATTGAGTCTCTGCTGGGTTTTGGCATCAGGATGATGTTAGTCTCATAAAATGATTTAGTTTGGCTGGATTCCCTCTTTTTGGATTGTTTGGAATAGTTTCAGAAGGAGTGGTACCAGCTCCTCTTTGTATGCCTGTTAGAATTTGGCTGTGAACCCATCTGGACCTGGGCTTTTTTTGATTGGTAGGCTATTAATTGCTGCCTCAAGTTCAGCCCTTGTTATTGGTCTATTCAGGGTTTTGACTTCTTCCTGGCTTAAGCTTTGGAGGATGCAAGTGTCCAGGAATTTATCCATTTCTTCCAGGTTTACTGGTTTATGTGCAGAGAGTGGTTTGTATTTCTGTGAAATCTGTGGTAATATCCCCTTTATCATTTTTTATTGCATCTATTTGATTATTCTCTCTTTTCTTTTTTATTAATCTGGCTAGTGGTCTGTCTATTTTGTTGATGTTTTCAAGAAACCAGCTCCTGGATTTATTGATTTTTTTGAAGGGTTTTTTATGTCTCTATCTCCTTCAGTTCTTCTCTGATCTTAGTTATTTCTTGTCTTCTGTTAGGTTTTGAGTTTTTTCATCTTGCTCCTCTAGCTCTTTCAATTTTCACCATATGGTGCCGATTTTAGATCTTTCCTTGCTTCTCGTGTGGGCATTTATTGCTATATGTTTTCCTCTAGACACTGCTTTAAATGTGTTCCAGAGATTCTGGTATGTTGTGTCTTCATTCTCGTTGGTTTCAAATAACATCGTTATTTCTGCCTTCATTTCATTGTTTATCCAGTCAACATTCAAGAGCCAGCTGTTCAGTTTCCATGAAGTTGTGCAGTACTGAGTTAGTTTCTGAGTTCTGAATTCTAACTTGATTGCACTGTGGTCTGAGAGACTGTTATGATTTCCGTTGTTTTGCATTTGCTGAGGAGTGCTTTACTTCAAATTATGTGGTCAGTTTTAGAGTAGGTGTGGTGTGGTGCTGAGAAGAATGTATATTCTGTATATTTGGGGTGGAGAGTTCTGTAAATGTCTGTTAGATCTGGTCGGTCCAGGTCTGAGTTCAAGTCCTGGATATCCTTATTAATTTTCTTTCTCATTGATCTGTCTAATATTGACAGTGGAGTGTTAAAGTCTCCCACTATTATTGTGTGGGAGTCTAAGTCTCTTTTTAAGTCATTAAGAATTTGCTTTATGTATCTGGGTGCTCCTGTATTGGGTGCGTATATATTTAGGATTGTTAGCTCTTCTTGTTGCATTGATCCTTTTACATTATGTAATGTCCTTCTTTGTCTCTTTTGATCTTTGTTGGTTTAAAGTCCATTTTATCAGAGACTAGGATTGCAACCCCTTGCCTTGGGGTTGCGCTTCTTGAGGAATATCTTTGTGGTGTTCTCTGTATTTCCTGTACTTGAATATTGGCCTGCCTTGCTAGGTTGGGGAAGTTCTCCTGGATAGTATCCTGAAGAGTTTTTCCAGCTTGGATTCATTCTCTCCATCACATTCAGGTACACCTATCAAACTTAGATTAGGTCTTTTCACATTATCCCATATTTCTTGGAGACTTTGTTCATTTCTTTTTATTCTTTTTCTCTAATGTTGTCTTCTCATTTTATTTCATTGCATTGATCTTCAATCTCTGATATCCTTTCTTCTGCCTGGTTAATTCAGCTATTGAAACTTGTGTATGCTTCACAAAGTTCTCATGTTGTGTTTTTCAGTGATGTTCATAAGTGAACATCAATTCATTTATGTTTCTCTATAATCTGTTTATTCTCGTTAGCATTTCATCAAACCTTTTTTCCAGTTTCTTAGTTTGTTTGCATTGGGTTAGAACATGTTCTTTTAGCTCAGAGAAGTTTCTTATTACCCACCTTCTGAAGCCTGTTTCTGTCAATTCATCACACTCATTCTCCATCCAGTTTTGTTCCCTTGCTGGTGAGGAGTTGTGATCCCTTGGAGGAGGAGAGGCATTCTGGTTTGGGGTGTTTTCATCCTTTTACACTTGTTTCTTTCCATCTTTGTGATTTATCTCCCTGTGGTCTTTGTAGTTGGCGACTTTCAGATGGGGTCTCTGAGTGGATGTCCTGTTTGTTGATGATGAAGTTATTTATTTCTATTTCTTAGTTTTCCTTCTAACACTCAGGGCCCTCTGCTGTAGGACTGCTGGAGGTCCACTCCAGACCCTGGTTGCCTGGGGATCACCTGCAGCAGCCTCTGCGTTTTCACTGGGAACTGCAATCCAGAGTTGTTCCTATTTGGTCATCTTGGATCCCATTCACTAACCATATTTTCTTTATCCAGTCAACTGTTGATGGACACTCAAGTTGGTTCTATGACTTAACTATTGTGTATACTACCATGATGAACATATGAGTGCAAGTGTCTTCTCTTTCTTTTCAATAGTTATCCAAAGTTTTTTTATTCTTCAAATTTCTCAAATCATCTTATTTTACTTCCTGCTTCTCAGTAAGTAATTTTGTCATTTATCTCAGAAAACAGAAACAATTATAAGTTATGAATTTCTACAAACTTACATCTTTCATCATTTTTGGCTTTTCCAGGTTCTAGAGTATGTAGCAGCCCATCCTGTTATCCAAGTCTTCATTTATTCTATATACTTAGAATATTGCTCAATTTTCTTTTTCTAGTGTATTTTATCTCTTTTTTTTTTCTTTTCTTTCTGAATCTCAATAGTGTATTTTGTTGTGGGGTTGGGGAGGGTCACCTTTATTCCATATATGAAAGAACCCATAGATCTCATTTGAACATGAATTCATCTCTAGCTCCTATTCTCTATCTCTTTTCTTTCATAGCCAAAAACCTGCTATCTCCAGTTACTCACCTTCCATCCACTCCTATAACTCCCTCCAATCTGGTTTTCCCTTACCTTTCCATTGATACTTTTTCAATAAGATAACTAATTATTTTGTCCTTTTATTGTCTAGTAGCCTCAACATATTTAATCTGCAGCCTTTAATATTTTTTTGTGTGTGTGAGATGGAATCTTAGTCTTTTACCCAGGCTGGAGTGCAGTGGCACGGTCTGGCTCACTGCAGCCTCCATCTCCCAGGTTCAAATGATTCTCCTGCCTCAGCCTCCCAAGTACCTAGGATTACAGGCATGTGCCACCACACCTGGCTAATTTCTGTATTTTAGTTTTTAGTAGAACAGGGTTTCTCCATGGTTGCTAGGCTGGTCTTGAACTCCTGACTTCAAGTGATCTGGACACCTTGGCCTCTTAAAGTCCTGAGATTACAGGCATGAGCCACCACACCAGGCCACATTTTTTCTTATTCTTTTGTTTTCCATTATGTCTTCTTCTGTTTGCAAAAATTTCCTTTGCAAGCACTTCATCCTCTGTCCCTAAAAATGGTGTTACTGTGGGTTCTGGCATCAGCCCTCTACATCTACTCTTTCTGGGCAATTTCATTTATACTCAGGTTTTATATTTTTGAGGGCAAAGTTCATGTTTTTTCATCTTTCTTTCTGTGTAATAATACCTGACACCTACTAGTCATAATTAATATTGTTGAATAAATAAATGAATTTAGGTAATATCATCCAAATACTATTATCAGTCATTGAAAAATATTGCTCATAATTCTACCTTTCAGAGATAAACCTAGATCTTATGTTGGTGTATTTTTCAGTCTTTTCTCTACCTAGTATCTGAATTTCTTACAATTTTAATTATTTGAAAACCTACTATCTTTCTATATTTATTATATATATGTAGAAATCTTTCAAAGAAGTCCAAAAATAGGAAGTTTCCAGAACCACCAAACAATGAGGATGAAGATGAAGATGTCAAAGCTGAAAGACTAAAGGTCAAAGAGCTGATGAGTTGCCAGTGTTGTGAGGAGGTAATTTATTCTTTATGCTGTCATATTAAATATGAAATGATCGGTTCCCAGTATATAGAAATTAATCTGAAAAATAGTTTTTTGCATATGAAGCAATCTGAAAAAAATCTTTCTTGAAAAAAAATACTTGTCTACTTACCTTTGAATAAACCAGGATTTCAGTCATAAATGGATATTTATTTGTACCGTATCTCCTTATTAGCCAATATAATTTTTATAATATGGACATGAGGTATGTACAGCCTGTCATTTCATGATAGGTTTTGTAACTTTCTTTTTTAAATACAATTTTTCTTATTAGAAACCATCCATTATGATCAGCAACTTGCATAAAGAATATGATGACAAGAAAGATTTTCTTCTTTCAAGAAAAGTAAAGAAAGTGGCAACTAAATACATCTCTTTCTGTGTGAAAAAAGGCTGGTATTTAATTTTTTCTTACATAACTTTTCTAGAAGAGTAATTTCCACTTTTGGTTTGATTTTATTATGATTTTTTTTCTTTCAATTTCTTTAGGAGAGATCTTAGGACTGTTGGGTCCAAATGGTGCTGGCAAAAGTACAATTATTAATATTCTGGTTGGTGATATTGAACCAACTTCAGGAAAGGTATGATATGTAAGAGTATGGGATATGTTGAATATGATTTCTATTTTTAATTAAGATAAACTTTTAAGACAAATTAGGATTTGATATACAATTTTATTGTATATTATTAGCATTTTTTGTATAGCTTGATCAAATTATGATCTTTTTGGTTATCTGCAAAAATAATGTACTTGGTGAAATTTTCATACACACATATAGACACACACATATACAATATTTCTGCTTCTGATATGCTTACATGCATGAGTTACTTGTCTGCCAACTTAATGGAAGACAAGTTTATTAGTTTCAAGAGATTTGGGAGTTTGTTTTGATCTGCCATCAGCTAGTCTTTGATCATAAGCATGTCACTCACCACTTTGTGGATACTTCACAAAACTACCCTGATCCCATTTCCTGCTTCTCTCCCCTTGCTTACTTTATGCCAGCCATACTGGAAAATGACAGGCATACTCTTTTCTTCAGGTTTTTGTCCAAGATGTTTCTTTTTTGTTTTTTGGAGGTTTCAGTGGGATGGGAGAATCACAAGGATTCAGGTGTTCAGAGGAATGTATTGAGTAGAGGTGAGGAACTGGGAGGTTGAAAAGTTAAGAAAGGAGAGAAGGAGAGGAAGAAAGAGGAAGAAAAAGAGGGAGAGAGAACAGGAATATTGCTTCATACTAAAAACGGGTATTAATAATGGCCAATCAATATTTTGTGTATTTAAAATGGAGAACTCTATAAATATTTATTGAGTTTACTTGTTCTGGATCTGAGTTGAAGTCCTGGATGTCTTTATTAATTTTCTGTCTCATTGAGTCTAAATCTCGTTATGGGTCTTACGTATCTGGGTATTAAGATCTCTTATTGTTACATTGATCCTTTTACCACTGTATCTTTGTTGCTTTGAAATCTATTTTATCAAATGTGAGAATTGCAACTCCTGCTTTTCATTTATTTATTTATTTTTGCTCTCCATTTGGTTGGTAAATTTTTCTCCAACCCTTTGTTTTGAGTCTTTGTGTATCTTTGGATACACCGTTAGGTTTTGGCTGTATCTTTTGATTGGGGGATTTAGTCAATTTAAATTTAGGGTTACTGCCATTTGATGTTAACTGGCTATTTTATCCATTCGTTGATGTAAATTCTTCTTTATGTTGATGCTCTTTACTTTTTGGTATATTTTTAGAAAGGCTCATACTGGTTGTTCCTTTCTATGTATAATGCTTCTTTCAGAAGTTCTTGTAAAGCAGGCCTGGTGGTAATAAAATCTCTGAGTACTTGTTTGTTCATAAAAGATTTTATTTTTCCTTCAATTGTGAAGCTTAGTTTGGCAGGATATGAAATTCTAGGCTGAAAGTTCTGTTCCTTAAGTATGTTGAATAATGGCCCCCACTCTCTTCTGGCTTGTAGGGTTTCCACTGAGAGATCTGCTGTAAGTCTAATAGGCTTCCCTTTATGGGTAACCTGGCCTTTTTCTTTGGCTGCCCTTAGTATTTTCTCATTTGTTTCGATTCTGGTGAATCTGACGACTATGTGCCTTGGGGTTGCTCTTCTTGAGGAATATCTTTATGGTGTTCTCTGTATTACCTGGAGTTGAATAGTGTCCTGCTTTGCTAGATTGGGAAAATTTTCCTGGATAATATCCTGAAAAGTATTTTCCAGCTTGGATTCATTCTCTCCATCCCATTCAGGTACACCAATCAAACGTAGATTGGGTCTTTTCACATAGTCCCATATTTCTTGGAGACTTTGCTCATTCCTTTTCATCCTTTCTTCTCTATTCTTGTCTTGTTGTTTTATTTCATTAAGTTGGTCTTCGACCTCTGATATCCTTTCTTCTGCTTGATCTGTTCTGCTATTTAAACTTGTGCATATTTCACTAAGTTCTTGTGTTGTATTTTTCAGCTCTGTTAGTTCATTTATATTCCTCTCTATATTGTCTATTCTTGTTAGCATTTCGTCAAACCTTTTTTCAAAGTTCTTAGTTTCTTTACATTGGATTAGAACAAGTTCTTTTAATTCCCAGAAGTTTCTTATCACCCACCTTCTGAAGCCTACTTCAGATAATGGAACACAGTCCTTTTCCATCAGGGCTTGTTCCGTTGCTGATGAGGAACTGCAATCCCCTGTAGAGGGAGAGGGGTTCTGATTTTGGGTATGCTCGGCCTTCTTAGGCTGTTTTTTTCCCTTTATTATACATTTATCCATCTGTCGTCTTTACAATTACCACCTTTCTAATTAGGTTTCTGAGTTGACGTCCAATTTATTGATTCCCAGTGCTGGGATTCAAGCAACCCACTGCGCCAGCCAAAATAGCAGCGATAAAACTGATGGTGCTCTTCTGCCTGGGAATCTCTGGTCTGGCTTCCTTCTTGAGTCCACAACAAGCGGCTCTGCCTTCCCGGAGCTCCAAACACCAGTCATTAAGGGAACCACTCCCGTTTACTCTGCATGAAGAGCTGCCGTGCCAAGGCGCCGGCAAAACCGCTGCACCCGCCACAAGAGTCGCGCTGGCGACCTGTGGGGCTCCTCCACTAGAAATCTGCTGGTCCGTGAGCGACGAAAATTCATCTGAAAAGTGTGGCGTCCTCTCGTTCTCTGAGCTTTCACTGGGAGCTACAATCCTGAGCTGTTAGTGATCAGCCATCTTGGATCTCTCTCCCAAGATGTTTTCTCTGTTTGGCTATACCTTATGCCTTAGAAATACATACACTAAATTCACTTACCTCTTTGGTTCAAATGTCACCTTTGATGAAGCCCCCTGATTATTAGAATTATAGCTTTCTTTTTTATCCAACTCTGCATTACCCGATTTAGCTATATATGTCCTTCCATCATCAAAAAGGAGTAAAACATCTGACTGGATGCCGTGGCTGATGCCTGTAATTCCAACACTTTGAGAGGCTGAGGCAGGAGGATTGCTTGAGACTAGCCTGGGCAAATAGTGAGACCTTGTCTCTACTGAAATTCAACAAAGAAAAAATAATAGCCAGGCATGGTGGCACATGTTTGTAGTCTCTGTTGCTTAATATTAATAGTAATAGTAATAATAATAAAGGAGAACAACTCTGACTTGACATTACTCTGGCTATAGAAAGGGGTTTTGATTCATGTACTTGCCACTCCCTTCACAATGTAAATTAAGCAAATATAGTAAAAATTGGTTTGTGTTTCTATAGGTATTTTTGGGAGATTATTCTTCAGAGACAAGTGAAGAAGATGATTCAATAAAGTGTATGGGTTACTGTCCTCAGATAAACCCTTTGTGGCCAGATACTACACTGCAGGAACATTTTGAAATTTATGGAGCTATAAAAGGAATGAGTGCAAGTGACATGAAAGAAGTCATAACTCGGTAAAATTATTGTCTTTACATTCCTTTTGTTACTTAAGGGAAATATTTACATTTTATATTTTTAAAATTTCATAACAAGCATTTCTGTGGACAGTAATTTTTATAGAAAATTGTCATTACTTTTCCACATATTCTTTTTGGTATATGAAAATACATTGATAACTATAAATTATGATAACTGTGAAAAAGGTAATTTTTCTAGTTATATAATGAATGTACCTGTAAGTGTCATGAAACTTATTTAATTCAAAGTGAACTATTTTATCAAGATATTAATTTATTTAAAATGACATAATTGGAGAATTTTCCCTTACCTACTTATAGTAGCTTCAACTGAGTAATTATTCTAGAGAAAACAGCATCAGAGATCACACACAATTGATATTTATGTTTATATATCATGTTATACTCATTTTGTATTGTTCATTTTGCAGAATAACAAATGCACTTGACTTAAAGGAACATCTTCAGAAAACTGTAAAGAAACTACCTGCAGGAATCAAACGAAAGGTACTTTCATTAAACACCAAATAATGTCTGTATTTTTTTATTGATGGTTTAGTACCTGATATCGTCTTGATAGATTCCTTATAATGAACCTTGTTAATTCCCCACCTGTCTTTTTCTTTCCATGTAGTTGTGTTTTGCTCTAAGTATGCTAGGGAATCCTCAGATTACTTTGCTAGATGAACCATCTACAGGTATGGATCCTAAAGCCAAACAGCACATGTGGTAAGTATGATACTTGTGACAAAGTACATTATACTTTAGAATAAAATAATAGTTTCTTTTATTATAATAGTTTTATGTTATTTATATGTATGTCTTGATTTTAAATTCTATTCAAAGGATATAATAATAATTAAAAATTAAATAGATTTAGCGATTTCATTAAGCTTTTAAAACTTTGCCATATTTTTCATGAAGTGTTCATAATATTTTATATATTCCAGAACAGAAATGAGCATATGGGTAATTATTAAGATAAAGAGTTCTAGTGTTCTGTATAGTTTTTAAGGCTTTTTCTAGTCATTTAGCATATAAATGATCTTTCCCATAATCATGGTGTCTTGAATTTATGTTGGGACTCTTTCTAGTACAGTGATGCATTGCCTAATGACAGAGATGCATTCTGAGAAAGGTGATTTTGTCATTGTGAAAGTGTAATGGAGTGTACTTATATAAACCTCTGGGTGGTTATAGCCTACTACCTACCTAGACTGTATGGTATAGCCTATTTCTTCTAGGCTATAAATCTGTAGAGCATGTCACTGCACTGAATATTGTAGGGAGTTGTAACATGATGGTATTTGTGTATCTAGACATTTCTAAACATAGAAAAGGTACAGTAAAAATATAGTATTATAATCTTATTGGATCATGGTTGGAAATGTTTTTCATCATTGATTGATATGTCATTATGCAGTGCATGTAAAGTACTAATTAGTTGAACTACTTTTTTTTTTTTTTTTTGAGATGGAGTCTTGTTCTGTCACTCAAACTGGAGTGCAGTGGTGTGATCTGCCTCTCAGGCTCAAGCAGTTCTAATGCCTCAGCCTTCCAAGTACCTGGGACTACAGGCAAGAGCCACCACGCTCAGCTAATTTTTTGTTTTTGTTTTGTTATGTTTTGTTTTGTTTTGTTTTGAGATGGAGTCTCTCCATGTCACCCATGTTAGAATGCAATGGTGTGATCTTGGCTTACTGCAATCTCTGCCTCCCAGGTTCAAGTGATTCTCCTGCCTCAACCTCCCAAATGGCTGGGATTACAGGCACGTGCCAGCACTCCTGGCTAAGTTTTTGTATCTTTAGTAGAGATGGGGTTTCACCAGGTTGGCCAGGCTGGTGTCAAACTCCTGACCTCAGGTGATCCACCCCCCTCAGCCTCCCAAAGTGCTGGAATTACAGGTGTGAGCCACTGCGCCCAGCCTTGAACACTTTTAAGCCTCTACTCCCGTGTCTATAAAGTGTAAAGTTTGGTTTATATACATGTTAAGGTTTTCTTATGATTCAAAGCCTGTTTTGGTTATGAAAAGGCATCATCAATTTTAAAGTTTATTTGTTGTCATACTTTTAGCCCATATTAACATTTGAAATTACAGATTTTTTTTTTTTCCATTTGACAAGCTTTCAAAATGAAGGGAAAATAGAATATAAAAGCCATGGTTGGGCAGGATGTAATAGCCACAGCAATTGATATTTGGAAGTTTTAATATACTTAATTCACCAACCAGTTGGATTTTTAAAAGCCTATATTTTAAAAAAACAGATGTGTTCCTCTCTTTATTTTATCTTATTTGTGTTTTATAGGCGAGCAATTCGAACTGCATTTAAAAACAAAAAGCGGGCTGCTATTCTGACCACTCATTATATGGAGGAGGCAGAGGCTGTCTGTGATCGAGTAGCTATCATGGTGTCTGGCCAGTTAAGGTCGATGTCTTAAATAGCATGCCATTTAGGGGAAGAGGGTGGGGGCTGGATTTTGAATGTCATCATTTCAAAAACATGGTAATATTTAGTAATTTAAATGTTAAATATTTTAGTTTTTAAGTTAGCTTTTTATAGATTGACTTGGAAGTATGTTGAGTTTTTAAAAAATATGACTATTTACTTTGAATTTATTTAATATTTAAATAATTTGTAATATTTTTAGGGATAGTACTTGTTATTTTAAGAAATTGTTATATGTTGGATTAATTATAGAACACAAATATGAAATAAATATGTGAGCTTATACTTTCATAAATAATTGAGTAAAGAAATAAGTGTGAGAAAAGATGTGGATCTTCCTTACAAAACAACTCCAAATAATATATGTAGATAATACCCTCTTCAAGGGAGAAGGTTGAATCTCCTATCCCCCAAGTTTGGACTGGACTTAGCTGGTTTCTTGTAAAAGATAAACTACAGAAGGAGGAAAACAGTAACTTCACAGTTGAGAAAGCTGGAAAATACTACCTTAACTAAATGTTGTACAGATACCATGTATTCACTGATGCGATATGATGGGAAAAGTACCAAAGCTGTGTGATATTCTTTCCAAAACCCATAACCGAAGTCTAATCATGACAAAAATATCAGACTAATTCAAATTGAGGGACATTCTACACCTGACCAGTAATTCTCAAAACTTTCAAAATCATGAAAAAGAAAGAAAGAATAAGAAACTGTCACCACAGTTAGAGACTCAAGTGACATGACAGCTAAGAACACTATGGTATCCTGGACAGATCCTGGAATAAGCAAAGGACAATAGTGGGAAAATGTTGAAATCTAAATAAAGTATGGAGTTCAGTGACAAGAAATGTACCAGTGGTGGTGTCTCAGTTTTGACAAATTGACCATGGTAATGTAAGATGTCAAGATTAGAGAAACTGAAACTGGATGAAGAGTGTATAGGGATAACTGTATTTTCTTTGCAATTTTTCTCTAAATGTAAAGATATGTTTTTAAAAAATGTAGTGATATATGTAAGAAATTATTCTTTGAAACTGTCATTTTATATCTGAGTTTTCTTTTGAAAAAAATACTTCAGATGTATTGGAACAGTACAACATCTAAAGAGTAAATATGGAAAAGGCTACTTTTTGGAAATTAAATTGAAGGACTGGGTAGAAAACCTTGAAGTAGACCGCCTTCAAAGAGAAATTAAGTATATTTTCCCAAATGCAAGCCGTCAGGAAAGGTAAAATTTTTTAAAACATGGTTATATTTCTTTATAAAGTGAAGATTATAAAAAGTTATTAAGGATTAAGTGAAAAATTATCTTTTTATTCATAGGCCATATATGTATTTCTCTGTGTGTGTGTGAATATATATATATTTCAAATGTATATGAAATATATGTATCTGTAGATAGATAGATTACATATATATAGATTACAGGGAGAGATTTTATATATATGTATTTCCATATTATCACCAATACTGGACTAATGAAGTTTGATGGCTTGTGTTTTATATCTGCCTTAGTATTAGATTTTTCAATATTCAGTAGTATTTAATTTTTTTAACATTCTTAGCATTGAGTTATTTTGTTTTGCATGAAAATGTTATTTTAAACAATTTTTATCCAAGTAAATATCAAAATTAAGTATTGAATTTAATTTTGAACTTTAAACATGTTAAATTTTATTGAGCTTTAGAACACAATAGTAGTAATTTTTTATTTTTTCTATATTTTATCTTTTTTTTCAGTTTTTCTTCTATTTTGGCTTATAAAATTCCTAAGGAAGATGTTCAGTCCCTTTCACAATCTTTTTTTAAGCTGGAAGAAGGTAAGTAGTATTTGAAAAACATTTATGTCATAGCTCTCAAATTTGAAAGCATTTTATTTAAAATATTTAAAACTAGGGACTTAGTTTATTTTAGAAGCTATGGCAGATAAGAAGATAACCTTTTTTTCATTTAATGTAAGATACAGGTAAACACTAATGTGGTAGGGATTTTGTGGATATACTCTATTGTAATATAAACCTTTTACAATATTTAGAGAGCATTGGCATAGTTTTTCACATTGCATCTATGAGAAAGGCCAGCTTAATTATTGAGTCTTTGCAGTTAGTCCAGCGGCAGGAGCTCTGAGTTTCTTGAATCCTTACTTCAAACTGGTCCACAGAAGCAGCTACACTATCAAGACTCCAGTGACGAAGAGAAGTCTAAGTGTAGGACAGTGGGCATTCCCCAAAGTTTTAAGGAAGCTTATAGAATCTTGGCATTTTAAAAATAAGTGGCCCGTAGGATAAATATATATATATATATATGCTGGTGACAGTTGAGAGAGATCACCTCCTGGAAGAATCAGGTGTTCATATGCAGATTATTTTATGGCATTTATAAACTGTGAAACAACCTATGTTTATGTATAAGGTTCATTAATAATTTTCAAAATAACTACAAAATTTTTATGATTGTTCTTTATGTGATTATTGAATACAAAAGATTTCCTGATACTATATATATTCTTGTCACAGCTATGGATTAATGGATCTTCTTTTGCCAAGAACACTAATTATTTTTATGTCCATAATATATGTAGTCACATAGTCAGGTGAAGTTCTGCTTTCCTGGTGATTTCTTCCTTTTTGTTTTTGATACAGAGTCTTCCTCTTGTCGCCTGGGCTGGAGTACAATGGCACCATCTTGACTCACTACAACCTCCGCCTCCCAGGTTCAAGCAATTCTCCTGCCTCAGCCTCCCGAGTAGCTCAGATTACAGGCAGCTGCCACCACAACTGGCTAATTTTTGTATTTTTAGTAGAAATGGGGTTTCACCATGTTGGCCAGGCTGATCTCAAACTCCTGACCTCGTGGTTCACCTGCCTTGGCCTCCCAAAGTGCTGGGATTATGGGTGTGAGCCACTGTGCATGGCCTCCTTGTGATTTCTTTATGACCAAAGAGAACACCTGATCTACTTATGGAGAATTAAATTAAAGGAATGAATAGAACAACAGAAGTTTGGTATTACTTTATATTGCAAAGGAATCTGAAATAAATACAGAAAAGTTTATGGGCCAGGCATGATGTTTCACACCTATAATCTCAGCACTTTGGGAGGCTGAGGCAGGAGGATCCTGTAAGCCCAGGGTTCAAGATCAGCCTAAGTAACATAGTGAGGCCCCATATATACAAAATAATTTTTTAAATTAACTGGGTATAGTGGCATGTGCCTTTAGTCCCAGCTACTCAGGAGGCTGAAGTGAGAGGATTGTTTGAGCCTGGGAGGTCACGGCTGCAGTGAGCCATGATCATGCCACTGTATACCAGCCTGGGCAACAAAGAAAGACCTTCTCTTAAAAAAAAAAAAAGAAAGAAAGAAAGAAAGAAAGAAAAGAAAAGTTTATAGAAATAGGACCAATATCCAGAATCTAGTTCAAAAAGCAAGAATAGGCTACAGTGGAGTTGGAGAGTGGGAGATAAGAGAGCAGGGATCAAAAGAAGACAGGAAAAGAATCACCAGGAAAAAGATAATAGAGAAAAAGTGCAATAAGACAAGTAACATTAAACATAGTACTTAGGGCTATAGAGGAATTATAATAGAGAAGAGAACGGAAGTAAGAGAGAAAAATAACATGTTTTGGCAGCTTCAAATTTAAGTGAGTTGATTACAGAGATATTTTAAAAACAGATTGTTAGCCACTTTAGTAGTCATTGCCATTTTTTCAAATATTGATGAGTAATATACTATTCTTATATTTTAATAGCTAAACATGCATTTGCCATTGAAGAATACAGCTTTTCTCAAGCAACATTGGAACAGGTACCATAACGTTAAATTTTTTTAAATTGTACTTTAGATTCTGGGGTACATGTACAGATCATGCTGGATTGTTGCATAGGTACATATATGGCAATGTGCTTTGTTGCCTCCATCCCCCTGTCACCTATATCTGACATTTCTGCCCATGTCATCCCTCCCCAACCTCCCCATCCACCTGCTGTGCCTTCCCTGCCCCCAGACAGACCCCAGTGTGTGATGCTCCCCTCCCTGTGTCCATGTGTTCTTGTTGTTCAATACCCGCCTATGAGTGAGAACATGCAGTGTTTGATTTTCTGTTCTTGTGTCAGTTTGCTGAGAATGATGGTTTTCAGATTCATTCATGTTCCTACAAACGAAACAAACTCATTGCTTTTTATGGCTGCATAGTATTCCATGGTGTATATGTGCCACATTTTCCTTTTTTAATCTATCATCGATGGGCATTTGGGTTGGTTCCAGGCCTTTGCTATTGTAAACAGTGCCACAATGAACATATATATGCATGTGTCTTTATAATAGAACAGTTTATAATCCTTTGGGTATATACTCAGTATTATATATTGGGATTGCTGGTCAAATGGAATTTCTATTTCTAGGTCCTTGAAGAATCACCACACTGTTTTCCACAATGGTTGAACTAATTTACACTCCCACCAACAGTGTAAAAGTGTTCCTATTTCTCCACATCCTCTCCAGCATCTGTTGTCTCCGGATTTTTTAATGATCGCCATTCTAACTGGTGTGAGATGGTATCTCAATGTGGTTTTGATTTGAATTTCTCTAATAACCAGTGATGAAGAGCATTTTTTCATGTATTTGTTGACTTCATGTATGTCTTCTTTTGAAAAGTGTCTGTTCACATCCTTTGCCCACTTTTGGATGGGTTTTTTGTTTTTCTTGTAAATCTGTTTTAGTTCTTTGTAGATTCTGGATATTAGCCCTTTGTCAGATGGGTAGATTGCAAAATTTTTTTTCCCATTCTGTTGGTTGCTGGTTCACTCTAATGATTGTTTCTTTTGCTGTACAGAAGCTCGGGAGATTAATTAGATCCCATTTGTCATTTTGGCTTTTGTTGCCAATGCTTTTGGTGTTTTAGTCATGAAGTCCTTGCCTATGCCTTTGTCCTGAATGGGTTTGCCTAGGTTTTCTTATAGGGTTTCTATGGTGTTAGGTCTCATGTTTAAGTCTTTAATCCATCTGGAGTTAATTTTAGTGTAAGGTGTCAGGAAGGGGTCTAGGTTCTGCTTTCTGCTTGCCAGTTTTTCCAACACCATTTATTAAACAGGCAATCCTTTCCCTATTGCTTGTTTGTGTCCAGTTTGTCAAAGATCAGATGGTTGTAGATGTGTGGTGTTGCCTCTGAGGCCTCTGTTCTGTTCCATTGGTCTATATCTCTGTTTTGGTACCAGTACCATGCTGTTTTGATTACTGTAGCCTTGTAGTATAGTTTGAAGTCAGGTAATGTGATGGCTCTGGCTCTGTTTTTTTGCTTATGATTGTCTTGGCTATGTGGGCTCTTTTTTGGTTCCATATGAAATTTAAGGTGGTGTTTTCCAGTTCTGTGAAGAAGGTCATTGGTGGTTTGATGAGGATAGCATTGAATCTATAAATCACTTTGGGCAGTATGGCCATTTTCATGATATTGATTCTTCCTAACTATGAGTATGAAATGTTTCTTCATCTGTTTGTGTCCTCTCTTATTTCGTTGAGCAGTGGTGTGTAGTTCTCCTTGAAGAGGTCCTTTACATCCTTTGTTAGTTGTATTCCTAGGTATTTTATTCTCTTTGTAGCAATTGTGAATGGCAGTTCATTCTTGATTTAGCTCTCTTTAAGTCTGTTCTTGGTGTATAGGAATGCTTGTGATTTCTGCACACAGATTTTATATTCTGAGACTTTGCTGAAGTTCCTTTTTTTTTCTTTTTTTATTTTTCTGGGAACTTACACTATGTGTCAGGCACTGTAAACTTCATGTAAATTAACTTAATGTTCCCAACTACCCCATGCAGTATGTACTGTTATCTTCATTTTACAGATGAGGAAACTGAGCAGCAAATGTTTCTATTATTTGCTCAAGGTCTTAGAGCTAAAAAGGAGCAGAGCTTGAACTTGAACCCCATCACTTTATCTCTTGAACCCACCAGTTTTCTATGTTGATTAATCCTATTCTTTATGCTATTTGTGGTTTAATAAAAGTATAATACCTAGGGTGATTTTTTTTGAAAGAAAAAAAAGGAGAGGAAGAAAAAGAGGGAGAGAGAACAGGAATATTGCTTTATTCTAAAAATGGGTATTAATAATGGCCAATCAATGTTTTGTGTATTTAAAGTGGAGAATGTATATTTTGTGTATTTAAAGTGGAGAGCTCGATAAATATTTATTCAGTTTACTTGTTCCAGATCTGTGTTCAAGTCCTGGATATCCTTATTAATTTTCTGTCTCGTTGAGTATAAATCTCTTTATGGGTCTTATGTACCTGGGTGTTAGGATCGTTAGCTCTTATTGTTGCATTGATCCTTTTACCACTGTATCTTTGTTGCTTTGAACTCTATTTTATCAAATGCCAGATTTGCAACTCCTGCTTTTTGTTTATTTATTTATTTTTGCTCTCTATTTTGTTGGTAAATTTTTCTCCAATCCTTTGTTTTGAGTCTTTTTGTATCTTTGGATGTAAAATTGGTCTGGATGTAGCATACCGTTAGGTTTTGGCTGTATCTTTTGATTGGGGGATTTAGTTGATTTAAATTTAGGGTTACTGCCATTTGATATTAACAGGCTATTTTATCCATTCGTTGATGTAAATTCTTCTTTATGTTGATGCTCTTTACTTTTTGTTATATTTTTAGAAAGGCTAATACTGGTTATTCCGAATGGTGAGAGAGGGCATCCTTGTCTAGTGCCAGATTTCAAAGGGAATGCTTCCAGTCTTTGCCCACTCAGTATGATATTGGCTGTTGGTTTGTCATAAATAGCTTTTATTATTTTGAGATACGTTTCATCAATACCGAGTTTTTTGAGGGTTTTTAGCATAAAGAGCTGTTGAATTTTTCAAAGGCCTTCTCTGCATCAATTGAGATAATCATGTGGTTTTTGTTTTTGGTTCTGTTTATGTAGTGAATTACGTTTATAGACTTGCGTATGTTGAACCAGCCTTGCATCAGCGGGAAGAATCCTACTTGATCATGGTGGGTAAGCTTTTTGATGCGCTGTTGCAATCGGCTTGCCAGTATTTTATTGAAGATTTTTGCATCTATGTTCATCATGGATATTGGCCTGAAGTTTTCTTTTCTTATTGAGTCTCTGCTGGGTTTTGGTATCAGGACAATGTTGGTCTCATTAAAATGATTTGGGAAGGATTCCCTCTTTTTGGATTATTTGTAGTAGTTTCAGAAGGATTGGTAACGGTTCCTTTTTGTGTGTCTGGTAGAATTCGGCTGTGAACCCATCTGGACCTGGGCTTTTTTTGTGTGGTAGGCTCTTAATTGCTGCCTCAACTTCAGATCTTGTTATTGGTCTGTTCATGGTTTTGACTTCTTCATGGTTTAATCTTGCGAAGACCCAAGTGTCCATTTCTTCCAGGTTTACTAGTTTATGTGCATGGAGTTGTTTGTAATATTCTCTGAAGATGGTTTGAATTTCTGTGGGATATGTGGTGATTTCCCCTTTATTGTTATTTTTATTGCATCTATTTGGTTATTCTCTCTTTTCTTTTTTATTAATCTGGCTAGTTGTCTGTCTATTTTGTTGAACTTTTCGAAAAACCAACTTCTGGATTTATTGAAGGGTTTTTTGTGTCTCTATCTCCTTCAGTTCTGCTCTGATCTTAGTTATTTCTTGTCTTCTGCTAGGTTTTGAGTTTTTTTTATCTTGCTGCTCTAGCTCTTTCACTTTTGATGATAGGGTGTCAATTTTGGATCTCTCCACTCTTCTCATGTGGGCACTTATTGCTATATATTTTCCTCTAGAGACTACTTTAAATGTGTCCCAGAGATTCTGGTATGTTGTGTCTTTGTTCTCGTTGGTTTCAAAGAACTTCTTTATTTCTGCCTTCATTTCGTTGTTCATCCAGTCAACATTTAAGAGCCAGTTGTTCAGTTTCCAGGAAGCTGTGCAGTTCTGAGTTAGTTTCTGAATTCTGAGTTCTAACTTGATTGTACTGTAGTCTGAGAGACTGTGTGTTATGATTTCTGTTCTTTTGCATTTGCTGAGGAGTGATTTACTTCCAATTATGTGGTCAATTTTAGAGTAGGTGTGATGTGGTGCTGAGAAGAATGTATATTGTGTGGATTTGGGGTGGAGAGTTCTGTAAATGTCTATCAGGTTTGCTCGTTCCAGTTCTGAGTTCAAGTCCTGGATATCCCTGTTAAATTTCTGTCTGGTTGATCTGTCTAATATTGACAGTGGAGTGTTAAAGTCTCCCACTATTATTGTGTGGGAGTCTAAGTCTCTTTGTAAGTCATGAAGAACTTGCTTTATGTATCTGGGTGTTCTTGTATTGGTTCCATATATATTTAGGATTGTTAGCTCTTCTTGTTGTATGAATCCTTTTACCATTATTAATGTCCTTCTTAGTCTCTTTTGATCTTTGTTGCTTTAAAGTCTATTTTATCAGAGATGAGAATTGCAACTCCTGCTTTTTTTGGTTCTCCATTTGCTTGGTAAATCTTCCTCCATCCCTTTATTTTGATCCTTTGTGTATCCTTGCATGTGAGATGGGTTTCCTGGATACAGCACACCAATGGGTTTTGGCTTTTTATCCAATTTGCCAGTCTGTGTCTTTTGGTTGGTACATTTAGCCCATTTATATTTAGGGTTAATGTTGTGTGTGAATTTGATCCTGCCATTTTGATTCTAGTTGGCTGTTTTGCCCATTAGTTGATGCAGATTCTTCATTTTGTTGATGCTCTTTACCATTTGGTATGTTTTTGGAGTGGCTGGTACTGGTTGTTTCTTTCTATGTATAGTGCCTCTTTCAGGAGCTCTTGTAAAGCAGATCTTCTGGTGACAAAATCTCTGAGTAGTTGCTTGTTCACAAAAAATTTTATTTTTCCTTCACTTGTGAAGCTTAGTTTGGCTGGGTATGAAATTCTGGGTTGAAAGTTCTTTTCTTTAAGGATGTTGAGTATTGGCCCCCACTCTCTTCTGGCTTATAGGGTTTCTGCTGAGAGATCTGCTGTGAGTCTGATGGGCTTCCCTTTGTGGGTAACCTGACGTTTCTCTCTGGCTGCCCTTAGCATTTTCTCCTTCATTTCGACCCTGGTGAATCTGATGATTATGTGCCTTGGGGTTGCTTTTCTTGAGGAATATTTTTGTGGTGTTCTCTGTATTTCCTGGACTTGAATATTGGCCTGCATTGCTAGGTTGGGGAAGTTTTCCTGGATAATATCCTGTAGAGTATTTTCCAGCTTGGATTCATTCTCTTCGTCACATTCAGGTTCACCTATCAAACATAGATTAGGTCCCTTGACGTAGTCCCACATTTCTTGGAGACTTTGTTCATTCCTTTTTGTGCTTTTTTCTCTAGTCTTGGTTTCTCATTTTATTTCATTGAGTTTATTTTCAACCTCTGATATCCTTTCTTCTGCTTGGTCAATTCGGCTTTCGAAACTTGTGCATGCTTCGTGAAGTTCTCCTGTTGTGTTTTTCAGCTCCATCAATTCACTCATATTTTTCTCTAAGTTGTCCATTCTTGTTATCATTTCATCAGATCTTTTTTCAAGGTTCTTAGTTTCTTTGCATTGAGTTAGAACATGTTCTTTTAGCTCACGGAAGTTTCTCATTACCCACCTGCTGAAGTCTGATTCTGTCATTTCATCACACTCATTCTCCATCCAGCTTTGTTCCCTTGCTGGTGAGGAGTTGTGATCCCTTGTAGGAGGCGAGGTGTTCTGGTTTTGGGTATTTTCCTCCTTTTTGCTCTGGTTCCTTCCCATCTTTGTGGATTTATCCACCCGTTGTCTGTGTAGTTGCTGATTTTCAGATTGGGTCTCTGAGTGGATGTCCAAATTGTTGATGATGAAGTTATTTCTTACTTTTCCTTCTAACATTCTGGCCCCTCTGCTGTAGGACTGCTGAGGTCCACTCCAGGCCCTGCTTGCCTGGGGATCACCTGCAGCAGCTGCAGAACAGTAAGGGTTGCTACCAGTTTCTTCTTCTGCTATCTTTGTTCCAGAATGATGCCTGCCAAATATCAGTCTGATCAGTCCTTTGTGAGGTGACTCTTTGTATATATGGGGGTTCGGGAGCTTCTTGAGGAGATAGTCTGTTCTTTATAGGAGCTCAATTGCTAAGCTGTGAGCTCTGTTGTTCATTCAGAGCTGCTAGGCAGGTACGTTTACATTTGCTGCAGCAGAAGTCATAAATCTTTTTTTCCCCAGGTGCTCTGTCCCAGGGAGTTAGGGCTTTATTTATGAGTATCCATTGTGCTGCTTTTTTTTTTTTTTTCAGGACTGCCCTGCCCAGCAAGGAGGCAGCCTAGTCACTGTCTGCCTGCAGAGGCTTTGCTGAGCTTCTGTGGGCCCCTCCCTGCTGCCCTGTGAACTTTCCTGCAGTCCTGTTTATATGGGTGTGGTTAGAACTGCCTCGGCAATGGTGGCCCGCCTCTGTAATGGCAGACTCTCTCTGTTATGGCGGGTTGCCTCAGCAATGGCAGGGTGTGTCAGAAATGGCAGTCTACCTTTGTAGGGATGGAGTGCCTCGGTAATGTTGGGTGCCCCTCCCCCAGAGAGCTGGACCATCCCGGATTCAGCTGTGCTTGCCATGAAACTCTGAACCCCGAGTGTTTCTAATTGCTATTTTTTGTTTGTTTGTTTGTTTGTTTGTTTTTGTAGGCGTGGGACCCGCTGAACCTGATCACCTGGCTCCCTGCCTCAGAGCCTTTTTTTTAAAGGTTGACTCTCCCAGGTATTCCAGTTGCCTGCTGAAAGGGCCCCAGGATCTGTGTGATTTCCCATGCGGTGACCCACTGCCCTGGCTGAAACAATGGTGCTGCCCAGGAATCTCCTGGCCTGGTTTTCTGTTTCAGTCCCGTTTAATCAGATGAATGGGCCAGTCTGCCTTCCTGGAGCTCAAATTTCCAGCTTAAAAGGGCAGCCAGACCAGTGTATTTTGTACAGAGAGCTGCCACGCCATGGTGCCGGCCAAACAGCCGTGCCAGTCGAAACAGCCGTGCTGGCCAAAACAGCCGCGCTGGCAACCCGTGGGGCTTCTCCGCCTGGTAATCTCCTGGTCTGTGGGCAATAAAGATTCATCTGGAAATGCAGCATCCACTCACCCTCTGCACTTTCACTGGGAGCTGCAATCCTGAGCTGCTTCTGAAGGGCCATCTTGGATCTTCTCCTTGACTTCTTCCTCAATTGAATACCCTTTACATTTTTTTCTTGCCTAATTGCTCTGGCTAGAACTTCCACTATGTATTGAATAGGAATGGTGAGAGAGGACATCCTTGTCTAGTGCCAGATTTCAAAGGGTCTGCTTCCAGTTTTTGCCCTTCAGTAAGATATTGGCTGCAGGTTTGTTATAAATAGCTTTTATTATCTTGAGATATGTTCCTTCGATACCTAGTTTATTGAGAATTTTTAGCATAAAGGGCTGTTGAATTTTGTTAAAGGCCTTCTCTGCATCGATTGAGATAATCATGTGGTTTTTGTCTTTGGTTCTGTTTATGTGGTGGATTATGTTTATAGGCTTGCATATGTTGAACCAGCCTTGCATCCCTAGGATGAAGCCTACTTGATTGTGATGGATAACCTTATTGATGTGCTGTTGCAATTGGTTTGCCAGTATTTTATTGAAGATTTTTGTGTCCATGTTCATCATGGATACTGGCTTAAAGTTTCCTTTTCTTGTTGAGTCTATGCCAGGTTTTGGTATCAGGATGATGTTGGTCTCATAAAATGATTTGGGAGGGATTTCCTCTTTTAGTATTGTTTGGAATAGTTTCAGAAGGAATGGTACCAGCTTCTCTTTGTACGTCAGGTAGAATTTGGCTGTGAACCCGTCTGGACCTGGATATTTTTTGGTTGGCAGGCTATTTATTGCTGCCTCAATTTCAGCCCTTGTGATTGGTCTGTTCAAAGTTTCATCTTCTTCCTGGTTTAGGCTAGGGAGGGTGCAAGTGTCTAGGAATTTATCCATTTCTTCCAGGTTTTAATAGTTTATGTGCAAGAGTTGTTCATAACAATCTCTGATGATAGTTTATATTTCTGTGAAATTTGTGGTGATGTCTTCTTTATCATTTTTTATTGCATCTATTTCATTCTTCTCCCTTTTTTTCTTTATTAATCTGGCTAGCAGTCTATTTTGTTGATCTTTTCAAAAAACCAGCTCCTGGATTTACGGATTTTTTGAAGGGTTTTTTTGTTTGTTTGTTTGTCTCTATCTCCTTCACTTATGCTCTGATCTTAGTTATTTCTTGTCTTCTGCTAGCTTTTGAGTTTTTTTATCTTCTCTAGCTCTTTCAATTTTGATGATAGGGTGTTAATTATAGACCTTTCCTTGCTTATCATGTGGGGGAATTTATTGCTTTAAATTTTCCTCTAGGCACTGCTTTAAATGTGTCCCAGAGATTCTGGTACATTGTGTCTTCATTCTCATTGGTTTCAAAGAACATCTTTATTTCTACCTTCATTTCATTGTTTATTCAGTCTCTGTTCAGGAACCAGTTGTTCAGTTTCCATGAAGTTGTGTGGTTCTGAGTTAGTTTCTTCATCCTGAATTCTAATTTGATTGTCCTGTGGTCTGAAAGACTGTGTGTTATGATTTCTGTTCTTTTGCATTTGCTGAGGAGTGATTTACTCCCAATTATGTGGTCAGTTTTGGAGTAGGTGCAATGTATTACTGAGAAGAATGTATATTCTGTGGATTTGGGGTGGAGACTACTATAGATGTCTGTTAGGTCTGCTTGGTCCAGATATGAGTTCAAGTCCTGGATATCCTTGTTAATTTTCTGTCCCATTGATCTGTCTAATATTGACAGTAGAGTATTAAAGTCTCCCACTATTATCGTGTGGGAGTCTAAGTCTCTTTGTAGGTCATTAAGAACTTGGTTTATATATCTGGGTGCTCCTGTGTTGGGTGCGTATATATTTAGGATTGTTAGCTCTTCTTGTTGCATTAATCCATTTACATTATGTAGTGTCCTTCTTTGTCTCTTTTTATCTTTGTTGGTTTAAAATCCATTTTATCAGAGACTAGGATTATAACTCCTGCTTTTTTTCTTTCTTTCTTTCTTTCTTTTTTTTTTTTGCTCTACATTTGCTTGATAAATCTTCTTCCATCCTTTTATTTTGAGCCTATATGTGTCCTTGCATGTGAGATGGGATTCCTGGATACAGCACACCGATAGGTCTTGACTCTTTTTCCAATTTTCCAGTCCGTGTCTTTTGATTGGAACATTTGGCCCATTTACATTTAGGGTTAATATTGTTATGTGTGAATTTGATCCTGCTATGTTGATGCTAGCTGGATGTTTTGCCTGTTAGTTGACACATTTTCTTCAGTGTGTCAATGGCCTTTACCATTTGGTATGTTTTTGGAGTGGCTCATACTGGTTGTTCCTTTCTATGTTTAGTGCCTCTTTCAGGAGCTCTTGTAAGGCAGACCTGGTGGTGATGAAATCTCTCAGCAATTGCTTGTCTTTAAAGGATTTTATTTTTCCTTCACTTATGAAGCTTAGTTCAGCTGGATATGAAATTCTAGGTTGAAAGTTCTTTTCTTTAAAGATTTTGAATATTGGCCCTCACTCTCTTCTGGCTTGTAGGGTTTCTGCTGAGAGATCTGCCGTGAGTCTGATGGGCTTCCCTTTGTGGGTAACCTGATCTTTCTCTCTGGCTGCCGTTAGCATTTTGTCCTTCATTTCAACCCTGGCGAATCTGACGGTTATGTGCCTTGGGGTTGCTCGGTTGAGGAAGTTTTCCTGGATAACATCCTGAAGAGTGTTTTCCGGATTAGATTCATTCTTTCCATCACATTTAGGTACACCTATCAAACTTAGATTAGGTCTTTTCACATAATCCCATATTTCTTAGAAGCTTTGTTCATTTCTTTTCACTCTTTTTTCTCTAATCTTGCCTTCTCATTTTATTTCATTGAGTTGATCTTCAGTCTCTGATATCCTTTCTTCTGCTTGGTCGATTTGGCTATTGAAAGTTGTGTATGCTTCACGAAGTTCTCGTGCTGTGTTTTTCAGCTCCATCAAGTCATTTATATTCTTCTCTAAGCTGTTTATTCTAGTTAGCATTTCATCTAATGTTTTTTTTAAGGTTCTTAGGTTCTTTGCATTGGGTTAGCATGTCTTCTTTTAGCTCTGAGAAGTTTGTTATTACTCACCTTCTGAAGCCTGTTTCTGTCAATTCATCAGAGTCATTCTCCATCCAGCTTTGTTCCCTAGCTGGTGAAGAGTTGTGATCCCTTGGAGGAGGAGAGGAGTTCTAGTGTTTGGTGTTTTCATCCTTTCTGTGCTGGTTTCTTCCCATCTTTATGGCTTTATCTACCTGTGGTCTTTGTAGTTGGTCTACAAAGTTGGTCTCATCTTTCGGATGAGGTCTCTGAGTAGACATATTTTTTGTCGATATTGAAGCTTTTTTTTTGTTTGTTTCTTAGTTTTCCTTCTAACAGTCAGGCCCCTCTGCTGCAGGATTGCTGGCGATACACTTCAGACCCTGCTTGCCTGGGGATTCCCCGTGGGGGCTGCAGAACAGTAAGGGTTGCTGCCAGTTTCTTTTTCTGTTATTTTTGTCCCAGAAGGGTACCTGCAGATGTCGGCCTGAGCTCTCCTTTATGAGGTGTCTCTTTGGGTATATGGGGGTCAGGGAGCTGCTTGAGGAGACAGTCTATCCCTTATAGGAGCTCAAGTGCTGTGCTGGGAGCTCTATTGTTCCATGCAGAGCTGCTGGGCAGGTATGTTTAAGTCTGCTGCAGTGGAACTCATAACTGTCTCTTTTCCCAGGTGCTCTGTCCTAAGAAGGTCGGGCTTTATTTATAAGTTCCTGATGTGCTGCTGCCTTTTTTTCATAGATGCTCTGCCCGTACTGAGATAGTTTAGTCAGTCTGCCAACAGAGGCATTGCTGAGGTGCCATGGCTCTGCCCAGCTGCTATGTGAACTTCCTTGAGGCAGTTAGAACTACCTCAGTATTGGTGGACTGCCTTGGTAATGGCAGACACCCTTCCCACCACCATGCTGAACCTTCGTGGGTCCAGCTCCACTTGCTGCAAAACTCTCAATCCAGAGTGTTTCAGATTGCTAATTTTGTGGGTGGTGGTACCTGCCAAGCCAGATCACCTGGCTCCCTGTCTCAGCCCCCTCCCTTTCAGTTGAATGGGCAGCCCTGTCTCCCAGGCATTCCAGGCACCAGTTGAAATGGCTGCCCAGATTTGTGTGAGTTTCTTTGCACCAACCTGCGGCACCAGCTGAAGCAGCTGTGCTGGAAACTCTTGGCACTTTTCAGCCCGGGAATCTCCTGATCTGTGGGAAGCGAAACTCATTTGGAAATGCAGTGATCACTCACTCTCTGCATTGTTCTTTCTGGGAACTGCACTCCAGAGCTGTTTCTATTCAGCCATCTTGGATCCTTCCCACTAAAGTTAAATTTTTAAAAATTATTTTATGAAAGAAAGTATCTGATATCAATTGTTTGGTTTGTATTAGAGAGGGAGAGATATTGTAAACCAGTGACAAAATGTTACAGAATAATCTTAAACTTTGTATAATTTTAATCAACCTTAGGTTCTTTACTTACTAATTTTTAAAATTTTATTTTTAAATTTGATCTTATTTTAAATTGACAAATCACACTGTCTATAGGGTAGAGT